TTCAGTATTTTCCCAACACATAATAAAAGTTATCTTCCCGTGTCTCCCTCTCAGGAAAGTCGATGAGGAAGTGGGTGGAGTCGATCAATAAGATCATCAAGAGGAAGCTGCAGACGCAGTCGAACGGCGTCAGCCACAACATCACCTTCGAGTCGCCGCCCCCCCCCCATCGAGTGGCACATCTGCCGGGCGGGGCAGGTGGAGACCTTCGACCTCATGACCCTTCACCCCATCGAGATCGCCCGGCAACTCACGCTGCTCGAGTCTGAGCTGTACAGGTGAGGAGGGCAGGGCGGCGTACAGACACAACATATATTATAATGGGTATAATTATAGGACTATGCTCCAATTCAAACACGGAGTAAGTGCATTGAACAAATCAATGACTGGATGTGTCAGAACTTTCTCCAATTAAACAAAAATAAAACTGAGGTAATGGTTTTTGGAGCCAAGTCAGAACGTATAAAAGTTAGCGCTGAGCTTCAGTCTGCAATGTTCAAAACAACAGATAAAGCCAGAAATCTAGGTGTAGTCATGGACTCGGACCTGAGTTTCAACAGTCACATTAAAACTGTTACTAAATCAGCCTACTATCACCTAAAGAATATATCTAGGATTAAAAGACTAATGTCACAGCAGGATTTAGAAAAACATGCTTTTACCTTCAGTAGACTGGACTACTGCAATGGTGTCTTCACAGGTCTCACTAAAAAATCTATTAGGAAGCTGCAGCTGATTCAGAACGCCGCTGCTCGAGTCCTCACTAACACTAAGAAAGTGGATCACATCACTCCAGTTCTGAAGTCTTTACACTGGCTTCCTGTGTGTCAAATAATAGATTTCAAAATACTGCTGCTGGTTTATAAAGCACTGAATGGTTTAGGCCCAAAATACATTTCTGACCTCCTGCTAAATTATGAACCATCCAGATAAACATGGTAAAGCAGCGTTCAGTTATTATGCTCCAAATATCTGGAACAAACTCCCAGAAACCTGCAGGTCCGCTGCAACTCTGACTACTTTTAAATCCAGGCTGAAGACTTTTCTTTTTGTCGCTGCTTTTAATTGAACTATTCACATCTTAGACTGCACTGTAACTTTGATCCATGTACTTTTTTCTTTTAATGTTTAATTTATTATCTTTTCTTTTTAATGACTGATTTTAAATGCCCTTTTCTGAATGTCTTTTGTTTTTTGTAAAGCACTTTGAATTGCCTTGTGTTGAAAAGTGTGATATAAATAAACTTGCCTTGCCTATAATAATTATGATAAATACACTTTATAGCTGAAAGGGCCCAAAACATTATAATACAGATATCTGTGACAATAATGTATGTATATCTGTTTTATAAGACCTTTTTTTAATATCTATAAATATGTATTATATTTCTACAGTTACTCCCTAAGGAAAATAATAATACTTTTTTAACTGTATTTATACATTTTTGTAATGTTTTTATTATGATTAGTTGAATAAATAGTGTTTTCCTAAATATTTTTATTTTGTTATTACACATTTTTTCTAAGGATTTTTTAATTATGAATTTTTAAATGTGTGAATTTTGTCTAAAGATTTTTTATATTTTATTTTTAACAATGTTTCATTAATATTATTTAGTTACAGATAAATACAACAATCTGCTGCAGAGTGAATTTTTTACCATTTTCTGGTTACGATGAAATTGTTGCTTAAAGCCTGTCTGTAAGATAAACCTCCTCCTCCTCCTCCTCCTCCTCCTCCTCCTCCTCCTCCTCCTCCTCCTCCTCCTCCTCCTCCTCCTCCTCCTCCTCCTCCTCAGAGCGGTGCGTCCCTCGGAGTTAGTGGGCAGCGTTTGGACCAAAGAGGACAAAGAGAAGAACTCCCCGAACCTGCTGCGTATGATCCGCCACACCACCAACCTCACGCTGTGGTTCGAGAAGTGAGTCCACACACACACACACACACACACACACACACACACACACACACACACACACACACACACACACACACACACACACACACTCTTTATCTTCAGTCTAAATCAGACCATCATCTTACACCTGTAGCACCTGTGTGTTGGGAAAATACTGAATGTACTCTTCCAATATCAGAGTCCACATGATAACAAAGGTATCCCAACTGCAGCTGTGAACATGACAGGATGTGTGATGACCTAGAAGAGCATCAGGACTGTTTGAGGCATATGATAGCTATGTGATTAACATGATGATTCAGCCTCTATGGAGAGAGACATCAAGCATGCTCATTTCTGACGTGGAGCTAATCTGAAGTAAACATTGAATACTGCTTTCTATTCCTCCATCTTGTGACTGTGTAACTCCCTCTCTTGGATATCAGCATGTGAAGGACACTGTTCAGGAACTAGTTGATGCTCTGTATGTGATGACTCCTTCCATTCTGGAGAGGATCACAAATACATGGATCCTGAGATTGAAGCTCATTTTGAGAAAAAAGTCAGAATTTTGAGATCTTGAGAAAAAATACAGAATTTTGAGATTTTTAGTCAAAAGTCAGAATTTTGAGAAAAAAATTCGGATTTTGAGATTTTGAGAACAAATACAGAATTCGGAGATTTTTAGTAAAAAGTCAGAATTTGGAGATTTCGAGAGAAAGTCCACATTTTGAAATTTTGAGAAAAAATAAAGAATTTTGACAAAAATAAAGAATTTTGACAAAAATAAAGAATTTTGACAAAAATGTCAGAATGTGGGATTTTCAGAAAAAAGCCAACATTTTGAGAAAAAGGTGACATTTTTCTAACACTGTGTGTCTCAGGTGCATTGTGGAGACGATGAACCTGGAGGAGCGCGTGGCCGTGATGTCTCGGGTCATCGAGATCCTGCAGGTTTTCCAGGAGCTCAACAACTTCAACGGGGTTCTGGAGGTGGTCAGCGCCATCAACTCTGTCCCCGTGTACCGGCTGGACCACACCTTCGAGGTCAGGGAGAACACCATAACACTTTTTTAATATCTAATTGTTGTAAACCTTACCTTGATATTAATAATTAAGACACATCTGATGTTTGTAGTTTTTTTTTACATGCATTTTAATCCCAATGCTGAACATAATTTATTTCTCTCTTCTGCACCAACAGGCGATACCGGAGAGGAAGAAGAAGATCCTGGAGGAAGCAGTGGAGCTGAGTCAGGACCACTTTAAGAAATATTTGGCTAAACTCAAGTCAATAAACCCGCCCTGTGTGCCTTTCTTTGGTACGTTTTTATTTTCATTTGACCTCATGTGGTGCCTAACTTCTGACCCTGCTTCACCGTCATTTCATTTCAGGTTCTCCGCGGGGTCTTAACAAGTATTACAAGTTGATAAATCAATTTAGCGAAAACTAAGGCTATTAAAAAGTATTAAACGGCATTTTCCAAGGTGTTACATTTTGTAGCTTGTTTCCAATAAGTATATAAATGGTCCAAAGAGGTTGTGTTCTACAGTCTGCCTGAATGTAATCATGGCGTAGGTGTGTAGTGTGATTCTGTGTAGTTTATTGATGGCATCCTGTTGGATTTGACGTCATCTGAACAGGACATCGCACGCTCACTGCTTGATAGCGCGCGAAGGTCCGTTTACGCCGGTTGCTAAGCAACATCGTTATGGGGAAATGCAAGTTTGCATCTCTTGGGAACAATGCCTAAATCTTTCTAATGGTTTATTTTTCTAATAAACCTTGCATTGGGTTGGTCACACTATTCATTCTCTTGTGCTTTGTTCTATCTGAATTATGATTAGGAGTTATCACAAGCTGTTAAGTTGTGCTATCTTACAATCAATTCTGTATATAGTCAATGTGAGGTAAAGTGTGTCGCCAAGGTAACCGGTTAGAATTCAAAGTGGCGATGAGGTCTTAAAATGTATGGAAAGGGTCTTAAAATGTATTAAATTTGACTTCAGGATTCCTGCATATACCTTGCATTTCTATTTGTTCCGTTCATGGTATGCACAACTTAATGTATAACAATTATTTACAAAACATGTCTCTGTAAACACACCGTACCCGAAAAGGAGCAGGGAGACGAAAATAATCTGACATGACCTGCCCCTTTCTCAAAGAAAATATAATAACTAGAAATAGATGGTCTGTCATTCATATTTTCTAACTCACAGCCAATCATAACAGTATCGTAGGAAAATAAGAGAAACACAAAAACGTACAAAACAAAATACTTAGTTCCCACTTGACAGAAAGAAACTAAACAACACCAAAACATGACATGTACAAAAAAAGTGCAACACCCTCATCTGAGTCCTACTGGAGAACAAGGGGGAAAGCGGCGCATCATAATAATAATAATAATAATAATGTAGTAATGAAACACCTCCTCTTCCTCCTCCTCCTCCTCAGGTATCTATTTAACCAACATCCTGAAGACGGAGGAAGGGAACCCGGACTTCCTGAAGCGCCACGGCAAAGAGCTGATCAACTTCAGCAAGAGGAGGAAAGTGGCGGAAATCACCGGAGAGATCCAGCAGTACCAGAACCAGCCGTACTGCCTGAAGGTGGAACACGAGATCCGGGTGAGCGCTCACTTCTACCATCTTCTCTGTGGTCCCTGAACTCGTTTCATAGAGACCCTGAACCCAAAGATATTCCCTATATACAGGGTTCCCACGGGGTCTTAAAAAGTCTTACATTTGATAATCAGAATTTAAGGCCTTAAAAAGTCTTAAATATGATCAGAAAAAGCTAAACACCAATCCTACAACCAGGAAAGATTGTAGCCAAGGGAGCAGAGCGTGCACACACACACAGACACACACACACACACAGAGAAACACAGACACACACACACACACAGATGGACACACAGACACACACAGACACAGACGTAGGTGTTACTCTCATCTATAGAGTGGCGAAGTCCCGCCCATCTATTTCCGCCCCATGGGACCTTATTTAGAAAAAATTATGTATTGAAGTCAATGGAGAGAGAAAGATTATCTTTCGATCCCGTTTGAATTGTGCCATGAATTACACATACGATGTTTGTCAATCTTAAAAAATAATTTCCATGTCCAAAAAGTCTCAGTTTGTCGTAAAACTGTTGAAATATAAGACTATGAAAAATACGCAACTAGAAAGACTACAAATCCCAGAGTCCCGGTCCCGCATGCTGGCTTTTAGGAACCGACTAACTCCCCTTGTGTGTATGCACAGCTCTCAACGTGCCCAGACTTGGAGTGATTTTCACCTCTTTTAATACTTTCCGCCTCGTTCTGAAAGAAAGAAGTGAAATGTTTCAACGTGACGGCCGTCTTGGTGTGTGGTGCGAGACGGGAGATGTAGGTCATTGTGTTTCACACAAAAAAAGTGTTACTTCACAGTTTTACGACACATTTAATTTTTTTAACTTGCAAAATTATATTTTAAATTGACAAACATCATATGTGTAATTCGTGGCACGATTCAAACGGGATCAAAAGATAATCTTTCTCTCTCCATTGACTTCAATACATACTTTCCCCGAAGTAAGGTCCCATGGAGCTCCCCGGAACGGGAGGGACTTCGCCTCTCTATTGATCATGAACGTCTTTTCTTTCTTTGTTGTTAGATCCCACATTTTAAAACATGTGTGTATATATTCTGAATGAGATGTCTCTTCTTTGTTGTTGCACATGGATCCTGAATTAAAAACATGTATTTTTTTTCTTTGCGTGTTCCCCAGCGGTTCTTCGAGAACCTGAACCCGATGAACAACCGGAGTGAGAAGGAGTTTGCAGACTACTTGTTCAAAATGTCTCTGGATATTGAGCCACGGCACTGCAGGCAGGCTCCTCGATTTGTAAGTGTTTCACTCCTGAGCTCCGAATTCGTCCCAAATGCTAGACATGCAGCAATTGTATTTTAGTCCGGTTTTTAGAGCAATGTCTTTAATAACTTACATATTCTCCAAAACTGCACTTTCTTGTCAAAACTGTTATGATCCCTTGGCTTTTTCATTTTTTTAAGTCTTATTTTATGCATATATTTCATCTAAATCGTATGTCCTTTTTATATTTATCTTATTTTTTATTATTAATATGAAATGTGTTTTATTTTTCATTTTATTTTACATTAAGTTGGCATTTTATTCCTGTTTTTTTTCTTTTGTCTATTTTCCCTTATTGTAAAGCATTTTCTTCTGCATTACCTGTAAGTTTATTATTATTATTCAGTATGTTTTATTTTTCATCACGTACGTACATCCATCCACATTATAGAGTGCTTTTAGAGGACATCTTGTTTTATCACATTTTTATTTTGTATTATTTTTTTGATATTTTTCTCTTTTTATATTTATCTTAGGTTTTTCGATTTTTACATTAATTTTTTTATTATTATACTTTTTTCCAATCATTGTGGCATTAAATCCCTGTTTTGTATCTATTCTCCCATATTTATATCACTGTGCATCATTTGCCGTATTATATTATTTTCCAATAACTGGTCATTTATCCCTGTTGTGTCCGTTTCCCCTTCTTGGACAGTACTTGTTGTCAGTTAATTGTAAAGAGATAATGTATTGATGACAGCCTGTTCTGTGTGTTGTGCTGCAGCCCAGGAAGACGATGTACAACCTGAAGTCCCCGGGGATCCGGCCTGTCCGAACCTCTACCTCTGGGACCCTGAAGGGCCACCCGGTGCCCCTGGAGAGGGAGCCGCCCCACAAGATCACCTTCCGGAGCATCCCGGAGACGGAGCCCGAGTCCCCTGCCTCCGTGCCCACCTCCCCCAACACGCCCACCCCCCCGCAGTCCGCCACCTCCGACATCAGCTCCGTATTCATGGATCACGACTTCAGCAGCTCGTACGGAGGTGAGGGGCGCACACATTTTACATCTTAAAGGTCACCTATTATGCAAAAATTCACTTTTTCATGTCTCTTCTACATCAACATGTGTCCCCTCTTCTCCATGTCTCTTCTACATCAACATGTGTCCCCTCTTCTTCATGTCTCTTCTACATCAACATGTGTCCCCTCTTCTTCATGTCTCTTCTACATCAACATGTGTCCCCTCTTCTTCATGTCTCTTCTACATCAACATGTGTCCCCCTCTTCTCCATGTCTCTTCTACATCAACATGTGTCCCCTCTTCTTCACGTCTCTTTTACATCAACATGTGTCCCCTCTTCTCCACGTCTCTTCTACATCAACATGTGTCCCCTCTTCTTCATGTCTCTTCTACATCAACATGTGTCCCCTCTTCTTCATGTCTCTTCTACATCAACATGTGTCCCCTCTTCTCCACGTCTCTTCTACATCAACATGTGTCCCCTCTTCTTCATGTCTCTTCTACATCAACATGTGTCCCCTCTTCTTCATGTCTCTTCTACATCAACATGTGTCCCCTCTTCTTCACGTCTCTTTTACATCAACATGTGTCCCCTCTTCTCCACGTCTCTTCTACATCAACATGTGTCCCCTCTTCTTCATGTCTCTTCTACATCAACATGTGTCCCCTCTTCTTCATGTCTCTTCTACATCAACATGTGTCCCCTCTTCTTCATGTCTCTTCTACATCAACATGTGTCCCCTCTTCTTCATGTCTCTTCTACATCAACATGTGTCCCCTCTTCTTCATGTCTCTTCTACATCAACATGTGTCCCCTCTTCTTCATGTCTCTTCTACATCAACATGTGTCCCCTCTTCTTCATGTCTCTTCTACATCAACATTCTCTCTCTTTTTGATCCATTTCTATAAAAACCTGTCTGAAAATGAGCTGATCAGATTTTGGACACTTTATGATGTCATAACGATGTTTTGGCTTGTGTAACCATTAGCCAATCAGCAGCCAAGGTAACTGTATTGTCATTAGCACATTAGCTACAGTGTAGATATGTCAATGATAAACGTAGGTCACAGGCTCCTCTAACAGTGCAACATATATATGGAGATGTGCAAGAGAATACAAATAAAATAGAAATAGTGCTATCAGTCTATATACAAGTAAATCGAATTATATATTAGATAAATAATTAGCAAAATGCAATCGGATGAATGTTATGGATGTTCTTTCAAAAGTTCAGGTGTTTAATAGTCTTATGGGGTGAAACGGTCCCTGAGTCTGGTGGTCTTGGAGTTACTTTCCTTAAGTATTTACAATCTTTTCTTTTAGTTTTCTTTGTACATTCAACAAAGAACATTGCACATGTTTACTTGTGGCTTCTCTCAGCTTTGAACAAAGGTAGAGAACATAAAGAAAATATATTGAAAACCATATAAACATCAAACTGAAATTCAGTTTCATTCAAAGCTTATTTACACTTTTATTTGACGAGGGGAAAACGTTTTACTGCGCTACATTAATGTCACACTTGATTTAAAACGGGCCCTGCTTTTATTCTGAAAGGTAAGAGCATGCACTTTTATTTTGAAATCAATCCTCTTCTCCCTCTTCAAATTTTACAGGAAATAACTCCATTTTTGCTCCTGTGCTTCTGCCGCCTTCAAGTGAGTGTTGGCTTTTCCCTTTTCAATTAAATTGTTTCTACAAGATGTTTTCTCTCCCCATTTCAAGTCTTTCTACGTACGAACATTATATATTTTACATTTTATCATTGCATATATTTAATCTATTTTGGTTAGATTTTATTTTCCATCCTATATTATACATACAATTCCTCTTAATGTTATATTTTATTATTTGTATTATTGACTTAATATGCACATAATTCATCTTATGAGTATATTTTTTATATACATCCAAATTGTATCTTGTGTTTTTATTTATCTAATTTTACTATAACTTATAGTAAAATTAGATAAATAAAAACACAAAATGTGTCTTATTTTTCATTCATTTCCATGTTTTTTATGTTCACTGTCTGTTTTCTTGCTGTCTGGTGGATGAGTCTCCCTAAAGCCGCATTTTGACTACAGGTTTTAGCGCGGCTCGTCATGGCTCGGTTCACCTTTGCTCAGTTCGGCTCACTTTAAGCTGCGTTTCCATTACAGTTACAGGGGGTCCGCGGGGTCTTAAAAAGTATTAAAAGTTGATATATCAATTTAGCGAAAATTAAGGCTATTAAAAAGTATTAAACGGCATTTTCCAAGGTATTACATGTTGTAGCTTGTTTTCAATAAGTATATAAATGGTCCAGAGAGGTTGTATTCTACAGTCTGCCTGAATGTAATCATGGCGTAGGTGTGTAGTGTGATTCTGTGTAGTTTATTTATGGCATCCCGTTGGGTTTGACGTCATCTGAACAGGACATCGCACTCTCACTGCTTGATAGCGCGAAGGTCCGTTTACGCCGGTTGCTAAGCAACATCGTTATTGGGAAATGCAAGTCTGCGTCCAAATGGTTGGAAGATAAGGAGGAAGGACAATCAATACTGTATATAGTCAATGTGAGGTAAAGTGTGTCGCCAAGGTAACCGGTTAAAACTCAAAGTGGCCATGAGGTCTTAAAATGTATAAAGGGTCTTAAAAAAGGTCTTAAAAGGTTTTACATTTGACTTCAGGATTCCTGCATATACTCTGAGTTAGTAACGAGGGTAGTAACTATAGTAACCACGCAGTGTAGGCGGGGCGATCGGCTGGGTTGTCGAGCATAAATGTAAGGATACAATAGGCTTGTTTGTTAGAAGTGAGCTTTACAATAGATGGGGACACAACGCTTTCAAGTCGAGCTCGAGTTTGAGGAACGTCTGTACCTCGTCCAATGACCACGGCGTGTGTTTTTTTGCTGCCATTTCTTTATGGATTTGTTGAAATAAAAAAGACTTTGTTGAAATTAGAAATACTTGCCTTACTTACTTACTTACTTTAGAAATGCTGCTTGGGGACTGTGTCGCGCAAGAATTGTGACGATTCTCTCCGACCAATCAGCGGTCGGCAGTGTTCTACGTCACTAGCTAAGCATATTTTCAGCTCGCTTGTAACCTCGACTGAAGGGGTCCTAAAAAAAGTACCCGTGAGCCGGCACTACCCCTAGTGGAAAAGCAAAAAAGAGCGAGCCGCGCTAAAACCCTGCAGTGGAAATGCGCCATAATTGTGCTGTGAAAGTGAGCAGGGCCTGTTCTCCATCTTTAACTCACACTGTTGTTGTTTTTTAACTCTTTGATGGTGTTTTCTTCTGTTTCCCAGAGTTCCAGTCGGTGTCGTGCGGCAGCCTCCATCAGCTCGTGGACGAGTCGATGAAACCGCCTCCTCTGCCGCCGCGGAGGAAAGACGCCACGTCTGAATCCAAGGTGAGAACAGGGAGTCATTTCACACCAATAATATTTATGCCAAGTGCAAAAAATAATACTATTGGTTCCTATAAAGTCAGGAATTGAACAGATTTTCTGATGCACCTTCTGATCTCTTTTTCTATATAGAAGAAGCAACCTAAGGAGTTGCAATATTAAAAAATAATATTTCTTAAGATAGGCAAAACCTTATCAACCATGGTGACAGGCGACCTGAATTATTTTACCTTCAACACCTTTTACCGTCTATTTGACACGTGCTAATTTCCTTCCCTATATGAAGAACTACATTTAAAACTCAAGTATGACATCTCACTGCAGATTTTATATAAATAAGGAGTTTAAACTCTCTTTTTTTAGCCTAAAGTGACCATATTTGTATGAGAGTGTTGACCTGTGATAGGGTAAGGTGGTGCATCCATAAAGCACGTCATATTGGGATGCAAATACTGGTAGTAGGAAAACAGCGTGGCACTATCATTGACTAGTTGAACATCATGCTGTGTTGAAGAAGCCTTGAAACTGGAGATTGAGACCATAAACTCATCAGGGAAATGTTTACTGAGAGAGAGAAGTAGGAACATTTTCTCACAGACTTCTATACAATCAGCCAGTCGAGTCGCCCCCTGCTGGATATTTGAGAAAATGCACCCTGAAGACACTTCTTCACAAACCTCATTATGGCTGTTCTGTCTGCTGTACACTATAATAATAATAATAATAATACATGACACTTATATAGCGCTTTTCTAAAAACTCTTGCGCTGTCAAAACGCTTTGACAGAATAACACAAAAACGAAGAAAATACATAGAGAGACAAACAAAAAACGACAACACTAACCGTCCTTATCCGGGTCTTTTTGTTTATTAATATTTTCTCTTCCTTGTGTCTCAGATGAGCTCCAGGTCCGACAGTCCTCCAGCGATCCCCCCCCCCCGGCTGCCCCCCCCTCGGAACCAGCCCCGGACCCCGCTCTACAACGGCCCCCCGATGGACGGCCCGCTGCCCAGCCCCCCCCCACCGCCGCCCCGCGACCCTGAGCCCGACACGCCCCCTCCGGTTCCTCAGCGACCTCCGGAGATCTTCATCAACTACCCGGTGAACATGCAGCCCTCCCCAGTGGGCCGCTATCACTGGGACTTTGGCTCCGCCCCCTGCTCCCCCAACACCCCCCCCAGCACGCCGTCGCCCCGCGTCCCTCGCCGCAGCTGCCCGCTCAGCGCCAGTCAGAACAGCCTCTACCCGCTGCCCATCACCGCCCCCCCGGTGCCCCCCCGCCACAACTGCAACCCCCAGCTGCCCAAACTCCCACCAAAGACTTACAAGAGGGAGCTGCTGCTGCCCCCCCCCCCCCTCAGATGCAGGGCCTCTCGCTGGTGGAGAACACCGACGAATGAAAACACACACACACTGAGAGGGAACACACACACACGCTGAGAGGGAACACACACACTCACGATCCCCTGTTTATCAGTCACTGGCACCGTGTTAGCGTTGTTAAAGTCTTGAAGAAAACTTTATTGATCTCTCAGGCCTCCATGGTGAACAAAGAGTCATAAAAAACGTAGAAAAGTCTTATTATTTAAAGCAGTGTCCAATACGTGCAGGCGTGCTACTCTCAATGAATGTTGCAATGACTTTACTAAAAAGCTGACATGGTGCATAGAGTAACGGACAGACCTCTCCACAGAATCATGATCTTGTGTTTCCTACAGATGTATTTTTAATGCTTTTTGCACCCATCGATCAAAGCCATTTTAGTGGAAAGACTAGATTGTTAATTAATAGATAAAAGAAGTGTATTTATCATGAACAGATCTGTAAAACTGAGGGTCTGCACACACAATCATGCTGAAGATCCAATTTAAATCTCGTGCTTACCAGAAATTGTCTCACAACATTTATTTTAGCTATAGGTAAGACACACCGATGTAATGCGATGTGAGACCAGATATATTCTTAGATCTTGAAGGCTGCTGTTACAATATAACAGATATTTAAAGCTGCTGTCCCTTTAACGATAAGCCAATCAGGTAACCGATGATTAAATTGATGAAAAACTGGTGTAAATATTTTTGAAAGCATCAAAAATCAACCCTTTCATTTCGTTTGAGCATCGATTTTGATGCATTTGATCACAAATATTGAGATGTTTGACTTCCTCTCCATGTGTCAGCCCTATAAGAGACATTTTAGTTGACTTAAGAACAAAAACAACAAATAATTTGTATAACATTTGAGTACAATTCTTGATTTATTTTATCCGTTTTTTTAATCAAGGAGGTTTGCGAGAAGTAAAACAGTCTTTTCTCCAGGAAGGTAACGCAGTGTGAGTTTCTGATAAACAGCTGATCATTTCAAGAATTTCCCTCGACTCCACCCGCCTGAATCAAACTCCCCCCCCCCCCCCCCCCCCCCCAACCCCCCCCCCCCCCCCCCCCCCCCCCCCCGCGGTGCCTCTCAAGGGATCAGTCGCTCGCCTTCATCATCTTCACCCTCTGTGCCATGAGACACTGGTGTGCCAGCTGACCGACACCCAGGAGTCTGAAACACTTCCCCCCCCCCCCCCCCCTCTATGGTCAGTTTGAGTCTTGTAGTGAACCCCGAAATGTTAAATACCGCAAAGTTTTACGTTAGAAATGTACAGTACGGGTCCCCAGCTCATAGAAACTGCCGGATGATAACTTGCATAAGTTGGTTTGTGGTAATTAGCATAAATTAGCATATGCAGACAATAGTTAAAACATGGCTTGGCAGATTTCGACAGTTTTTTAGTAGTTTTGGGGGTTATTGTTACGCCCAGATCAACATTATTGAGAAAGCTGAGTCCATTTCGGATACAAAATGGCAGTTTTAACAAGACTGGCTATATTTGTACTCTCTATGGGCTGATTTTGAGAAATGTTTGGAAGATTTGGAAGTTTTAGGGGACTCTAGATCATCTGGATTGGACAGATTGCTTATCTGTTTGAAAATAGTAGAGGTAATGTAGTCAAAATCAGCTGAGACCGTACACATATGGCCTGTTTCTGATTAAAACTGCCATTTTTTTTATCCTGAAAATGTCAGAAATGGATTCAGCATCCTCAATAACCCCCCAAACCACTCCAAGTCTTCCGAGCCATTTTTTAACTATTGTCCACTTAGGCTATAATTAATGCTAACTTGTGCTAATTGTGCTAATTGCTCATCATATGCAGGTTAGCATCCGGCAGTGTTCTATGTGCTGGGGACCCGTACTATACATTTCTATCATCAAACGTTGGGGTCCTCAACATGTCTGTGTTCACAATACTGGCAACTAGACTATCGGGGGGGGGGGCACGTAGCCTCAAACGCCATGCTTCATCTCTCCGGTGCGGCGATGTTCCTCCTCTTCCTCCTCCTGACGTAGCTCTTTGTTTTCTCATGTAAGAAAAAAAAAACAGTTGCCAAAGTCTTATTTTATGCAGGGGGAAAAGGGATTTTTTTTTTTTAAATGTGACATTAAAGGAGGCGACACTGAACGTCCCCCCCCTCTCACTTTACCGTGGATCTGAAATGTAAAACACTGTGACTCTGCAGCCACAAAACGTTGCCTTCAAGGACATCCGGTGAACCCGAGAACACTCCATTTGCACATCGAGTTTGGGCGAATCAGATAAAAATGACATGGGGGGGGGGGGAAGGGGCCGCCATGATTGCTTCACACTGTGCCCCCCCCCCCCCCTCTTTAAACAAACTCTTCTTCGTTGGTATTAAGCAGCAGTACTGGGAGCATGCATTAAACCTCCCCCTCTCTGCAAACATTTTAAACCTTTTTTCTCTGCTTGAAAAACTTTTGGGAAAGACTGAAATAACCCCTGCATCACGCTCAGATGTGCCTTTTTATTTTTGTTTTTCTACTTTACAGAAATAAGCAAAATGGTGTTTAAAAAAACAAAAAAAAGCTAAAAAAATGTCATGTTTAGAACAAAGTTATACACTATGAAATTGTACATGTTTGTGGATACTGTGTATATATAACATGTATACACTAACTAAATAATTTGTATAAAGTGTTTTTCTTTCCTCCCTTTTCATCCGCATCTGTTCAGACGAGTTTAGCCTAATAATCCTGCAGCAGGCGGATAATAAAATTAAAATAAAACAGGTCACTAACAGACAATCTCCTGAGGAAAGCCATGCCCCCCCTCCCCATTAAAAAAAAATATATGATATTAAAATATGCCGAGCACTTAGACGTGTGCTTAACTTTCTACTAATGGCCTTTTTCTCCTTTTCAAATACTTTTTAACGCTCATTAAAACAGGCGGTTTGAATGCAGGTGAACACACACACACACACACACATACACACACACACACACACACACACTTGTATTCAGCCTGCAGGTGAAGAATTGGACTTTATTTCTTGTTTGTTTTCTTCTGATAAAACACACTTTGTGCACTTTAGGCTGTACTGTTGTTGAAGAGCCGTGGTTGTTTTTAGGTCCTGTTTAAAAAAAAAAAAAAAAATGCAATGGTCCTATGCAACTGTTCAAACTCGCTTTCTACGTGCATCAGGGCGGAACACACACACCTGACACACACACACACACACACACACACACACACACACACATGAGGACGTCGCAGCAGCATGAGTGGGATTTCAGCGAAAATTCAACAAAAGGAAAACTTGTGCTCTTTCCTCTTCAAAATATAATCCCCTCTCGTGTTCTGTCCCGCCCCGGCCAGTGCTGACGGGATTAATTATTTTCAGATGTTGTCCTTTTAGTTTTTTTTCTTCGTGTTTGTTTGTTTTTTTACTTTAACCCCCAGATTTTCCTCCGGTGGCACTGTAAAAGCTTCATCCAGCAGTCGGTTTATTTCATGGTATGTGGCCTTTTAACTGCTTTGTATTAATGGTCTTGATGAGATTAATAAATCACCCAGTCTTATTTTGTACTGAACTACTCATTTCTCTCCTCGTTTTCTTTTGTTTTTACTGTAAATTCGGCTTTTTGAAGGTTTTTAAGTTGAAAAAAGTTGAATATTTTGGGAAGTTTCGGGTTATTGTCATATTTTCTGGTGTGTTCGGTTAAAAAAACGTTGCTGCGTTTCTGTTAGTCGGGGCTAAAACTACATATTTAATTATCAATGAATCTGTTCAGAATTGTTATTAATTCATTGATCATCTTGACGTTTATCAAATGTCAACAAATGTCCATTACAATCTCACAGAGCCAAGCTTGCTGTCTTCAAATGTCTGATTTAGTTTGAACAATATTCAGAATACCTACAAAAAATATTTACTTTAAAGAGTTCTCTCCTGCTGATGTTCAGGTGTATATCAGTATGTAGTGTCTCTACTTTAAAGAGTCCTCTCTCCTGCTGATGTTCAGGTGTATATCACTATGTAGTGTCTCTACTTTAAAGAGTCCTCTCCTGCTGATGTTCAGGTGTATATCAGTATGTAGTGTCTCTACTTTAAAGAGTCCTCTCCTGCTGATGTTCAGGTGTATAACAGTATGTAGTGTCTCTACTTTAAAGAGTCCTCTCCTGCTGATGTTCAGGTGTATATCAGTATGTGGTGTCTCTACTTTAAAGAGTCCTCTCCTGCTGATGTTCAGGTGTATATCAGTATGTGGTGTCTCTACTTTAAAGAGTCCTCTCCTGCTGATGTTCAGGTGTATATCAGTATGTAGTGTCTCTACTTTAAAGAGTCCTCTCCTGCTGATGTTCAGGTGTGTATCAGTATGTAGTGTCTCTACTTTAAAGAGTCCTCTCCTGCTGATGTTCAGGTGTATATCAGTATGTAGTGTCTCTACTTTAAAGAGTCCTCTCCTGCTGATGTTCAGGTGTATATCAGTATGTGGTGTCTCTACTTTAAAGAGTCCTCTCCTGCTGATGTTCAGGTGTATATCAGTATGTGGTGTCTCTACTTTAAAGAGTCCTCTCCTGCTGATGTTCAGGTGTATATCAGTATGTAGTGTCTCTACTTTAAAGAGTCCTCTCCTGCATCAATATGTAGTGTCTCTACTTTAAAGAGTCCTCTCCTGCTGATGTTCAGGTGTATAACAGTATGTAGTGTCTCTACTTTAAAGAGTCCTCTCCTGCTGATGTTCAGGTGTATATCAGTATGTAGTGTCTCTACTTTAAAGAGTCCTCTCCTGCTGATGTTCAGGTGTATATCAGTATGTGGTGTCTCTACTTTAAAGAGTCCTCTCCTGCTGATGTTCAGGTGTATATCAGTATGTAGTGTCTCTACTTTAAAGAGTCCTCTCCTGCTGATGTTCAGGTGTATATCAGTATGTAATGTCTCTACTTTAAAGAGTCCTCTCCTGCTGATGTTCAGGTGTATATCAGTATGTAGTGTCTCTACTTTAAAGAGTCCTCTCCTGCTGATGTTCAGGTGTATATCAGCATGTAGTGTCTCTACTTTAAAGAGTCCTCTCCTGCTGATGTTCAGGTGTATATCAGTATGTAGTGTCTCTACTTTAAAGAGTCCTCTCCTGCTGATGTTCAGGTGTGTATCAGTATGTAGTGTCTCTACTTTAAAGAGTCCTCTCCTGCTGATGTTCAGGTGTATATCAGTATGTAGTGTCTCTACTTTAAAGAGTCCTCTCCTGCTGATGTTCAGGTGTATATCAGTATGTGGTGTCTCTACTTTAAAGAGTCCTCTCCTGCTGATGTTCAGGTGTATATCAGTATGTGGTGTCTCTACTTTAAAGAGTCCTCTCCTGCTGATGTTCAGGTGTATATCAGTATGTAGTGTCTCTACTTTAAAGAGTCCTCTCCTGCTGATGTTCAGGTGTATATCAGTATGTAGTGTCTCTACTTTAAAGAGTCCTCTCCTGCTGATGTTCAGGTGTGTATCAGTATGTAGTGTCTCTACTTTAAAGAGTCCTCTCCTGCTGATGTTCAGGTGTATATCAGTATGTAGTGTCTCTACTTTAAAGAGTCCTCTCCTGCTGATGTTCAGGTGTGTATCAGTATGTAGTGTCTCTACTTTAAAGAGTCCTCTCCTGCTGATGTTCAGGTGTATATCAGTATGTAGTGTCTCTACTTTAAAGAGTCCTCTCCTGCTGATGTTCAGGTGTATATCAGTATGTAGTGTCTCTACTTTAAAGAGTCCTCTCCTGCTGATGTTCAGGTGTATATCAGTATGTAGTGTCTCTACTTTAAAAAAGCACCTCTTTTCACTGAAAATAAGTCAAAATTCTGAGAAAAAAACCTGAATTTGAATTCTGAGGAAAAAGTGTTTTTGAGAGAAACAGGGATTTTAGCCTTTGCAGACCATTTACATGCACTAAAACCTATTAAAGAAATCTTATCAAATGAGTTTATAATCTAAAAGTCAATGTAAAGTATGTTTCTTAAATCTTTAAAATGTTATCTGGAACAAAGAAAGATGTCCACCAAAAAGCAAAAAACAAATCTTTATTTGAGGCTTGTTGATTCATGCATTTCCATTTGGGGCAAAAGTCTCCTTGAAATAAATACATTGGAAATAAAGTAAATGTGTAAATGTTCACACGGTGCTGCAGGGCCCCTCGCTGTCCTCGCTGTCCTCCCACAGGCCCCCCCTGAACACAAGAAACAGGTCGAATAATTATCATTCATAACGTTTTTATTAAAGGAAAAGACTCTAACTGAAAGATAATGGATTTACTTTAAAGGTCCCCTATTATGCTGTGTTTCATCAATATAGTACAGGTCTCAGATATATACAAAACATCTGAAGTTGTTCTTCAGATCATTGCAGCATTACCCATAATCCCCTCTGTTTCAGCCCTGTTTCAAAAGTGCTGATTCTCTGTCTGTTACTTTAGATGAAAATAAGAAGCCACTCCCCACGCCCCTCTGAGAGACATTTGGGTAAAAAGAACACAATATGCGCTTTCACACCAAGTACTTTTACCCCGTAAAACTCTGAAAAGTGTTTTGAAGCCGCCATTGTATTTGCTGGCATTAGCATTAGCATTAGCCCCGCGCACCAACGCAGAGAGACTAACTTATGGCAACACAAAAGAAAACATGGGAGCGGTGGAGATGAGGAGGTGTCGGCGTTCTGGCGATTTACTCGGAAGGCTTCAGTAGAAGCTGCTGGGACTCCCAGCAGCTTCTACTGAAGCCAGTCCCCAACTCCGGGGACTTCGGGTGGCAGTATACGCCGTGAAGTTGTTTGCGGCCTGCCAATAAACCCGAAGAAGAAGAAGTGTCGTCAGCGGCTTCATTTGTCTTCCCCAGGAACTTATTCCGGTGTGAATGCGATTGGTACTTAGTTCCATGGGGGTACTAAGTACGGCAAAGTACTTGGTGTGAAAGCGGCTAATGGTGCTCTAGGAGGAGATTCAGGTCATAAGGTGTGTGTGGGGGGGGGGGGTTACATTGGTTGCTGATTGGCTAATGGTTACACAAGCCAAAACATCGTTATGACATCATAAAGTGGCAAAAATCTGAGCAGCTCATTTTCAGACAGGTTTTTATATTTAAATGGATCAGGACAAAAAGAGAGAGAATCTTTGTTCCTGAAACTTTCAGAGTCTCTTTCCACAGAGGGGACACATGTTGATGTAGAAGAGACATGGAGAAGAGGGGACACATGTTGATGTAGAAGAGACATGAAGAAGAGGGGACACATGTTGATGTAGAAGAGACATGAAGAAGAGGGGACACATGTTGATGTAGAGGAGACATGAAGAAGAGGGGACACATGTTGATGTAGAAGAGACATGAAGAAGAGGGGACACATGTTGATGTAGAAGAGACATGAAGAAGAGGGGACACATGTTGATGTAGAAGAGACATGAAGAAGAGGGGACACATGTTGATGTAGAAGAGACATGAAGAAGAGGGGACACATGTTGATGTAGAAGAGACATGAAGAAGAGGGGACACATGTTGATGTAGAAGAGACATGAAGAAGTGGATTTTGCATAATAGGTGAGCTTTAAGGAAAAGACTCAAACTAAAAGATAATGGATTACCTTTTATGTCTAAAGTGTGTGTTTGTACCTGATGTTTTCCCGGCTGGGGGGGGGGTTGTTGTTGGAGGTTTTTCTCCCTGCCGTGGCTGTCTGAATGGGGATGAATCCTCGGCCGTCTTTCTCCGGAGCCGAGTCCACCTGCTGCACACACACACACAGCAGGGGAGATTTTCATGTATTGTTTGTCAGAGAATATTTTAATCCGATCTGTGTATTTAGTGGTTCTCAGTCTTTCTGAGAAACTGTTAATCACAAAGATATGCTTTTCGTTAAATCGCATATACTCCTGCCTGTAATGTGATCCTGCGTGTAACCTCAGGAGGACACAGGTCAAGAGGTCCTCTGACTTCCTGTGGGGGTGAGGGGTTTGGGCACATGAGGAGTTGCAATACAAAGGTGCCTTTGTTCCGATGTCTGGTAATGGTTGGGGGAAAGGCGAATATAGGTCCCTCCTCTTTTCATGTATAGATCTGTGTTTCTGTCTCCTTTGTCTTCAGAGTTGATTTGGTTGCTTTGCATGAAAGTGTGAATTTACCTTGTGAACTCTCCGGCTGTATTCTCTCTCAATAAATATCGGTGTTTGACTAAAGACGATCCGGCTTCCATCATTTCCTTTGCATTGCTGCACAGAAGTTTTCATCACATTGTTTATGTTTAAAAAGGTAAACACTTGCTTTGGGGTCATCCCACCTGTTTGGGGTCGTCCCAGATGGGTCTGAAGGCGCTGTTGGGATGGAGGGGGGGGGGGGGGAGCCTCTCTTCACGCTGACCACTCTCCTCCCATAGGAGCTGACCAGGCAGGGGGGGGGGGTGCGGGGTCAATCTGGGGATCTGCCACCTCAGACACATCGCCCTCTCTCTGGTTCCCTCTCTCTCTCTGGGACCCTCTCTCTCTCTGGTTCCCTCTCTCTCTCTGGTTCCCTCCCTCTCTCTTGGACCCTCCCTCTCTCTTGGACCCTCCCTCTCTCTGGTTCCCTCTCTCTCCCGGGGCCCCTCCCTCTTCAGCAGCACTGGCTCCTGGCTCTCCTCCTCTTCCTCTTCCTCCCCCAGCCTGCCCCCCATCAGGGTCCCATCGGGGCTGCAGGAGGACACGGAGGAGAAGCTGAACCCTGAGGTGTCGTCGGGGTCCGTCTCCCCCCCGCTCTGCAGGTGAGGGTGGGGGGGCTCCTGCCTGTAGGTGCCCTTCCCCGAGTCGCTGTTCTCCCCCCACGCTGCGGGGGAGGAGGGGGCGAGGAGGGAGCAGCAGGCGTGCCCACAGTGCGGGTGAGGGTGGGGGGTGAAGGTCCTCCTCACAGGGCTGCAGGACAAGCACTCCACCCGCATCGAGGGGCCGTTAGTGAGGCCGGACCCCCCCTCTCTGCAGGGGGAGGAGAGGGAAATGCATGAAACACTTAGTTTTTACTTAAAGGTCACCTATTTTGCAAAATCCCCTTCTTCATGTCTCTTCTACATCAACATGTGTCCCCTATGTGTCCCCTATGTGTCCCCTATGTGTCCCCCTGTGGAAAGAGACTCTGAAAGTTTCAGGAACAAAGATTCTCTCTCTTTTTGATCCATTTCTATAAAAACCTGTCTGAAAATGAGCTGATCAGATTTTGGCCACTTTATGATGTCATAACGATGTTTTGACTAAAGTAAAAAAAATTAAATTACTACAGACACAAACAAATATCCACTTGTTAGTTGAATTACCATGGAACAATAAGAAGCTCACGTCTTGCATTTATCTGCAAGTACATTTCCCTGCACTCTAATCTAAATCGTGCAAAAGATACAGAGATCATGGTGCAACATTTTGCACATTGAACTGAAACAGTCCTGCAGTGCTGCCTCCAGCCTGCAGGGGGCGACACTGACCTCCGCACTGAGCTGCTGCCTGCAGTCTGTTGTCTCCTGCAGCCTTCAGAGCATCCTTCAGACTCTGCATCACTGCTGACAGGAAAACACATTTAAATACACATTTCAAATCATGTTCACTTTTTAACTTCTTTCACATCATAATAACTTCAAAGTCAAGTCCAAATATGTAGGTAGGTAGATAGGTAGGTAGGTAGATGGATAGATGGATAGGTAGGTAGGTAGATAGGTAGGTAGATAGGTAGGTAGGTAGGTAGGTAGATGGATAGATAGGTAGGTAGATAGGTAGGTAGGTAGATGGATAGATGGATAGATGGATAGGTAGGTAGGTAGGTAGATAGATAGGTAGATGGATAGATGGATAGGTAGGTAGGTAGGTAGATAGGTAGGTAGGTAGGTAGATGGATAGATGGATAGGTAGGTAGATGGATAGATGGATAGGTAGGTAGGTAGGTAGATAGGTAGGTAGATGGATAGGTAGGTAGATAGGTAGATAGATAGGTAGGTAGATGGATAGATGGATAGGTAGGTAGGTAGGTAGGTAGATAGGTAGGTAGATGGATAGGTAGGTAGATAGATAGGTAGGTAGATAGATAGTAACACATATAATGCAGGATATCATTGTGCAAGAATGGATTATTCAATGATAAATATAACATGAATGTAAAATGAACAGTGGGAGTTAAGTCCAGTTATTAAGAGAAGCTCTGGAGCAGAGAGTTCTCTTCCAGCCAGAGGAGATGTGGATGTTTGAGTATAACTACAGTGTGTATATGTTGGTGTTTCCTGACCTCTGACCCCCGGCCTCCTCCCACTGGACGTCCTCCTGCAGGGTCTGATGGCAGCGAGTCAGAACGCTCCTCAGCGCGCGCTCTGCTCCCAGCAGCAGGCTGCAGTCAGGGTGCTCCGGCCTCGTCCACTGCAGCAGGCTCTGCAGCGCGGGAGGGAGGGAGGCCACAGTATTACATTTCATTAAAAAAAACAACGCTTTATTTTATTTTAGCTTCTAAAGAAATAATTAAAGTTATTTATTTTCTGTTTAGAAATTGAAGTCTGTGCTTTTTTTCAGAGCATGTATCACAAGGAGGTAAACACATCTTTACTTTATAGAAAATTAGGTAACCATATAAATACTGCTTAACTGAAGTCTGTGCTTTAAATTAAAAAAATCAGGTTCAACACTGCTAGATATTCTATTCTATTAAATGACCTTAAAGGTAGGGTAGGTAAGAATGGAGAAACCAGCTCGAGTGCGCTAGAATTTGAAAGTACGCAACCGAAAAAAATCTGCCACTTCCTTCAGACTTCCTCACAAAGCCCCTCCTCCAACACACACGAACGCGCACATGACCAATGAGGGCACGAGATAAATTTGTGCACAGATGGAAGACTGACAGGCAGGTAGGCCATCCAGTTACTTTAGCCGGGCCGGCTCAGATGATTGGTCGTACTTTTTACAGTACTACGGCTTCCACAGATGACATTCCATCCATCTTCTCCCGCTTATCCGTGGTCGGGTCTCGAGGGTAGCAGTTCCAGCAGAGAGCCCCAAACTTTCTTTTCCCTGGCCACATCAACCAGCTCTGACTGGGGGATCCCAAGGTGCTCCCGGGCCAGCGAATCCCTCCACCTGGTCCTAGGTCTACCCCTTGGTCTCTTCCCAGCTGGACGTGCCTGGAACACCTCCCTAGGGTGGCATCCTAACTAGGTGCCCGAACCACCTCAACTGGCTCCTTTCGACGTGAAGGAGGAGCGGTTCAACTCCGAGTCCCTCCCGGATGACCGAACTTCTCACCTTATCCCTAAGGGAGACACCAGCCACCCTGCGGAGAAAACCCATCTCGGCCGCTTGTATCCGCGATCTCGTTCTTTCGGTCATGACAGATGACATTTTTTAATGTATTTATTGTCAAAGCATTTAATATATTCATTGCTATCGGGATGTTAAGAGCATTCCATGGAATATAACAAAAAGTGTTTCTGAAGTGAATTACCTACCCCACCTTTAAATTCTATTCTACTCTATTATATTGAATGAGATACTTCATGGTTCCAGCTTTTACATTTTTAATTATTGTACACATTTGACTTGCCTAAGTTGACCTGATCCCCTGTAGCTGCAGACTCACCTGGATGTGGCTCAGGTAGGCGTGGATTCTGGAGACGGGAGCGAGCAGCAGAGAGAGGAGCTTCATCTCCTCCTGACCGCTCTGAGGAACACAGGGAGGAACGTTCCTCGGGTTCTTTAACAGGAAGTAAAGGTTCCTCAGGTTCTTTAACAGGAAGTAAAGGTTCCTCTGGTACTTTAACAGGAAGTAAAGGTTCCTCAGGTTCTTTAACAGGAAGTAAAGGTTCCTCTGGTTCTTTAACAGGAAGTAAAGGTTCCTCAGGTTCTTTAACAGGAAGTAAAGGTTCCTCTGGTACTTTAACAGGAAGGAACGTTCCTCAGGTACTTTAACAGGAAGTAAAGGTTCCTCAGGTTCTTTAACATGAAGTAAAGGTTCCTCAGGTTCTTTAACAGGAAGTAAAGGTTCCTCTGGTTCTTTAACAGGAAGTACAGGTTCCTCTGGTTCTTTAACAGGAAGTAAAGGTTCCTCAGGTACTTTAACAGGAAGTAAAGGTTCCTCAGGTACTTTAACAGGAAGTAAAGGTTCCTCTGGTTCTTTAACACAAAGTAACGTTCCTCAGGTTCTTTAACAGGAAGTAAGGTTCCTCATGTTCTTTAACTGGAAGGAACAATCCTCAGGTTCTTTAACATGAAGTAAAGGTTCCTCAGGTTCTTTAACAGGAAGTAAAGGTTCCTCTGGTTCTTTAACAGGAAGTAAAGGTTCCTCAGGTTATTTAACAGGAAGTAAAGGTTCCTCAGGTTCTTTAACAGGAAGTAAAGGTTCCTCTGGTTCTTTAACAGGAAGTAAAGGTTCCTCTGGTACTTTAACAGAAAGTAAAGGTTCCTCTGGTTCTATAACAGGAAGTAAAGGTTCCTCTGGTACTTTAACAGGAAGTAAAGGTTCCTCTGGTTCTTTAACAGGAAGGAACGTTCCTCATGTTCTTTAACAGGAAGTAAAGGTTCCTCTGGTACTTTAACAGGAAGTAAAGGTTCCTCAGGTTCTTTAACAGGAAGTAAAGGTTCCTCAGGTACTTTAACAGGAAGGAACGTTCCTCATGTTCTTTAACAGGAAGTAAAGGTTCCTCTGGTTCTTTAACAGGAAGTAAAGGTTGCTCAGCTACTTTAACAGGAAGTAAAGGTTCCTCTGGTTCTTTAACATGAAGTAAAGGTTCCTCAGGTTCTTTAACAGGAAGTAAAGGTTCCTCTGGTTCTTTAACAGGAAGTAAAGGTTCCTCTGGTTCTTTAACAGGAAGTAAAGGTTCCTCAGGTACTTTAACAGGAAGTAAAGGTTCCTCAGGTACTTTAACAGGAAGTAAAGGTTCCTCTGGTTCTTTAACACAAAGTAACGTTCCTCAGGTTCTTTAACAGGAAGTAAGGTTCCTCATGTTCTTTAACTGGAAGGAACAATCCTCAGGTACTTTAACAGGAAGTAAAGGTTCCTCTGGTACTTTAACAGGAAGTAAAGGTTCCTCAGGTTATTTAACAGGAAGTAAAGGTTCCTCAGGTTCTTTAACAGGAAGTAAAGGTTCCTCTGGTTCTTTAACAAGAAGTAAAGGTTCCTCTGGTACTTTAACAGAAAGTAAAGGTTCCTCTGGTTCTATAACAGGAAGTAAAGGTTCCTCTGGTACTTTAACAGGAAGTAAAGGTTCCTCTGGTTCTTTAACAGGAAGGAACGTTCCTCATGTTCTTTAACAGGAAGTAAAGGTTCCTCTGGTACTTTAACAGGAAGTAAAGGTTCCTCAGGTTCTTTAACAGGAAGTAAAGGTTCCTCTGGTACTTTAACAGGAAGTAAAGGTTCCTCAGGTTCTTTAACAGGAAGGAACGTTCCTCATGTTCTTTAACAGGAAGTAAAGGTTCCTCTGGTTCTTTAACAGGAAGTAAAGGTTGCTCAGCTACTTTAACAGGAAGTAAAGGTTCCTCTGGTTCTTTAACAGGAAGGAACGTTCCTCAGGTACTTTAACAGGAAGTAACGTTCCTCAGGTACTTTAACAGGAAGTAACGTTCCTCAGGTACTTTAACAGGAAGTAACGTTCCCCTGCTGTGTATTGATTTTCTTCTGTAATTTAACCCAAATAAATCAGCACTTCCCTCTTTTCTAAAAAACAAGTTATATGGTACCAGTTTGCACCTTTTGATAAAACTCCATAATAATTTGACAAATACTGTTAAAGAATAAATACATAATATCTGAATTAGAAGCGAAAGAGTTGTGCAGTTTTAAATTGTTAATATTGCGCAGAAACCTGCTAAATGATCACAGTTTGATGAAGGTCATGTTTACCTGCTTCTTCTCAGAGACGCTGATCCTGTTGAACTCCAGCGAGAGGAAGGAGGCGAGCGTGGTCGTGTATCCGAGGTACATCTCTGAGAACGCCGTCTGCACGACACGAAGCAGAGAGACTCAGTTCAGGGTTCAGAGTAAAGGACGGAAATCATTCTCAGATCAGTAACTCACGTCGTTCTGTCCGATGAGCTGCACCACGATGTCTCCGATCAGAGACTTCCAGTGTTCTGCAGACAGCCTCTCCTGCAGGGTGTTCCTGAAGAGCAGGTGTCTCTGCAGCAGCTGCTCCACAAAACTCACAAACGTCTGACTGAGAGACACAAAAAAACACACACACGTTTTCTTATTTCACAACAAGAGGAGCGGAGCTGCAGGTAAACATGATTTTTCAGGTGATTTTGGGATATTTTAACTTAACATATAGAAATGTGCAGCAGAAGTAATAGGTTGATTAGATATCAGATTCATTTATTTTAACCTATTTTGTTATTATTTATCTTATTTCATTTAGCAGCATTTTCTATGGAGCATTTTTGAAGCAGTTCAATAACAAGTTGATTGATTTGTTATTATTTATTTGTTTATTATTTTATTGAGCAACATTTTTTGCAATTTGTTTATGATGATACATTTTATACATTTATATAACAATTACAATGTAGGCCTAGTACAACACTTAAACCACACTAACTTTTAAAGGTAGGTAAGAATGGAGAAACCAGCTCGAGTGCGCTAGAATTTGAAAGTACACAACCGGAGAAAATCTGCCACTTCCTCCAGACTTCCTCACGGAGCCCCTCCTCCAACACACACGAACGCGCACATGACCAATGAGGGCACGAGATAAGTTTGTGCACAGATGGAAGGCTGGCAGGCAGGTAGGCCATCCAGTTACTTTAGCCGGGCCGGCTCAGATGATTGGTCGTGCTTTTTACAGCGCTACGGCTTCCACAGATGACATTTTGTTATGTATTTATTGTCAAAGCATTTAATATATTCATTGCTATCGGGATGTTAAGAGCATTCCATGGAATATAGCAAAAAGTGTTTCTGAAGTGAATTACTTACCCTTCCTTTAATTATAGTTTTATTTATTATTTTAAAACACCCAAAACGTCCCTCTGAGTTGCAGAATTCATACAGAAACCATGATGAGTAAAGTTGTGTTTGTATGTTTGTATATATAAAGGTGTACTCACTATGGCTCCAGGGTCATCAGGTGGTCCGGGGGCTTCCTGTATTTGTCGTACAGCTGGTTTAACGTCGACACGTATTCCCACTCCGAGTGGAGCAGCTGCATCGCCACCTGATGACGAGCGTCTGGAGGAAAAGAGAAACATTTTAATTAACGATAAATCACAATTCTGCCCCCAGCGTCCACCCCAGCTTCCACCCCAGCGTCCACCCCAGCTTCCACCCCAGCTTCCACCCCAGCTTCCACTCCAGCTTCCACCCTAGCTTCCACCCCAGCGTCCACCCCAGCTTCCACCCCAGCGTCCACCCCAGCTTCCACCCCAGCTTCCACCTCAGCTTCCACCCCAGCTTCCACCCCAGCTTCCACCCAGCTTCCACCCCAGCGTCCACCCCAGCTTCCACCCCAGCTTCCACCCCAGCGTCCATCCCAGCTTCCACCCCAGCTTCCACCCCAGCGTCCACCCCAGCGTCCATCCCAGCGTCCACCCCAGAGTCCACCCCAGCGTCCACCCCAGCGTCCACCCCAGCGTCCATCCCAGCTTCCACCCCAGCTTCCACCCTAGCTTCCACCCTAGCTTCCACCCCAGCTTCCACCCTAGCTTCCACCCCAGCCTCCACCCCAGCGTCCATCCCAGCTTCCACCCCAGCTTCCACCCCAGCGTCCACCCCAGCGTCCACCCCAGCGTCCTCCCCAGAGTCCACCCCAGCTTCCACCTCAGCTTCCACCCCAGCTTCCACCCCAGCTTCCACCCCAGCGTCCTCCCCAGCGTCCACCCCAGCTTCCACCTCAGCGTCCACCCCAGCGTCCTCCCCAGCTTCCACCTCAGCGTCCACCCCAGCTTCCACCCCAGCTTCCACCTCAGAGTCCACCCCAGCTTCCACCCCAGCTTCCACCTCAGAGTCCACCCCAGCTTCCACCCCAGCTTCCACCCCAGCGTCCTCCCCAGAGTCCACCCCAGCTTCCACCTCAGCGTCCACCCCAGCTTCCACCCCAGCTTCCACCCCAGCGTCCACCCCAGCGTCCACCCCAGCGTCCACCCCAGCTTCCACCCCAGCGTCCACCCCAGCTTCCACCCCAGCGTCCACCCCAGCGTGACTGAAATATATATTTTTTTCTCAGATCATTTAGTTTTTCAGACAAATCTCCGGATTGTGAAAATTGATTTTTTTTGTCTTCTGAAAATCTCAGAATTCCGAGAACTGTCCAAATTCTGACTTTTTATTAGAATTCTCAAGAAAAAACAATTACATTTTCTCAGAGATTTTTTTTTTTTTTAAATCTCATGAGTTTTCTCTGAGAATTGTTTTTTTTCATTTTTTATCCTGCAAATCTCAGTATTCAGATTTCTTTCTCAGAAAAATGTTGCCGGAAAATCTCCGAAATCAGAATTTCCTTTTTTGAAAAAAGAAATATATACAGTGCACCCGGAAAGTATTCATACCCCTTCACTTTTTCCACATTTTGTTATGTTTCAGACTTCAAAATTGATTAAATGTATTTTCTCCACATTCTAGACACAAAACCCCATAATGACCAAGTGGAAAATGAATTAAAAATAAAACACTCAAATATCACATGTGCATAAGTATTCACACCCTTTACTCAATACGTTGTTGAAGCACCTTTGGGAGCAATTACAGCCTCAAGTCTTCTTGAGTATGATGCTACACGCTTGGCACACCTATCTTTAGAAAGTTTCTCCCATTCTTCTTTGCAGATCGTCTCAAGCTCCATCAGCTTGGATGGGGAGCGTCGGTGCACAGCCATTTTCAGATCTCTCCAGAGATGTTCAATCGGGTTCAAGTCTGGGCTCTGGCTGGGCCACTCAAGGACATTCACAGACTTGTCCCGAAGCCACTCCTTTGTTATCTTGGCTGTGTGCTTAGGGTCGTTGTCCTGTTGAAAGGTGAACCTTCGCCCCAGTCTGAGGTCCAGAGCGCTCTGGAGCAGGTTTTAATCAAGGATCTCTCCGCACATTGCTGTATTCATCTTTCCCTTGATCCTGACTAGTCTTCCAGTTCCTGCCGCTGAAAAACATCCCCACTGTATGATGCCGCACCACCATGCTTCACTGGTATTGGCCAGGTCTGGTTTCCTCCAGACATGATGCTTGGCATTCAGGCCAAAGAGATCCATTTTGGTTTCACCAGACCAGACAATTTGTTTTCATCATGGTCCTCTAGGTGCTCCATGTGGGCTTTCATGTGCCTTTTGCTGAGGAGTGGCTTCCTTCTGGCCCCTCTACCATTAAGGCCTGATTGGTGGAGTGCTGCACAGATGGTTGTCCTTCTGGAAGGTTCTCCCATCTCCACAGAGGAACACTGGAGCTCTGTCAGAGTGATCATCGGGTTCTTGGTCACCACTCTGACCAAGGCCCTTCTCCCCGATGCTCAGTTTGGTTTGGGCAGCCAGCTCTAGGAAGAGCCGTGGTGGTTTCAAACATCTTCCATTTGCAAATGATGGAGACCAATGTGCTCGTTGGGACCTTCAATGCTGCAGACATTTTTCTGTACCCTTCCCCAGATCTGTGCCTTGATACAATCCTGTCTCTGAGGTCTACAGTCAATTCCTTGGACCTCATGACTTGGTCTGTGCTCTGATGTGCACTGTCAACTGTGGGACCTCATACAGACAGGTGTGTTCCTTTCCAAGTCATCCATCCATCCATCCATCCATCTTCTCCCGCTTATCCGTGGTCGGGTCGCGGGGGTAGCAGTTCCAGCAGAGAGCCCCAAACTTTTTTTTCCCTGGCGACATCAACCAGCTCTGACTGGGGGATCCCAAGGCGCTCCCAGGCCAGGGAAGAGATATAATCCCTCCACCTGGTCCTAGGTCTACCCCTTGGTCTCTTCCCAGCTGGACGTGCCTGGAACACCTCCCTAGGGAGGCGCCCAGGTGGCATCCTAACTAGGTGCCCGAACCACCTCAACTGGCTCCTTTCGACGCGAAGGAGGAGCGGCTCAACTCCGAGTCCCTCCCTGATGACCGAACTTCTCACCTTATCCCTAAGGGAGACACCAGCCACCCTGCGGAGAAAACCCATCTCGGCCGCTTGTATCCGCGATCTCGTTCTTTCGGTCATGACCCATCCTTCATGACCATAGGTGAGGGTAGGAACGAAAATGGCCCGGTAGACAGAGAGCTTTGCCTTCTGGCTCAGCTCCCTTTTCGTCACAACGGTGCGGTAAAGCGACTGCAGTACCGCTCCCGCTGCTCCGATTCTCCGGCCCATCTCACGCTCCATTGTTCCCTCACTCGAGAACAAGACCCCGAGATACTTGAACTACTTCACTTGGGGTAAGGACTCATTCCCTACTTGGAGTGGACAGTCCATCGGTTTCCTGCTGAGAACCATGGCCTTTCCAAGTCATGTCCAATCTATTTAATTTACTACGAGTGGACTCCAATCAAGTTATAGAAACATCTCAAGGATGATCAGTGGCTGCACTTGAGCTCAATTTTCAGTGTCAAAGCAAAGGGTGTGAATACTTATGTACATGTGATATTTCATTTGATTATTTTTAACACGTTTTCAAAAAATTATTTCAAAACGTTTTCACTTTGTCATTATGGGGTATCGTGTGTGGAATATTGAGAAACAAAATGAATTTAATCCATTTTGAAATAAGGCTGAAACATAACAAAGTGAACAAAGTTAAGGGGTATGAATACTTTCCGGATGCACTGTATTTCTTTCTCTCAGAATATTTTTTTCTTTTTCTGAGAATCTCAGAACTCCCAAAAATGTCACTTTAAATAACAGGAAAAAAATGCCTTACATATCTGACATCTGTAACAAAATGAGTACATTTATTGATATTTTTCTCACCGGTGCCCTCACTCAGTCCGGCTTTGAGTCCCTGCAGGAAGCAGTGCAGCAGCAGCTTCCCCCGGGACACACACGACGCAGCACACACACACTGCGTCCTGCGCTCACACACATCACCGCTGAACGAAACACAAGGAACCATGGAAACAACTGCTATTTATTTATCTATTTAATTATTTAAGTATTTGTTGTTGTTTTACTGACCTCTTGGCTGTGAGGCCCTTGTCTTCCTGCAGAGGTTTCTGTCTGTAGAGCTGCAGGATCTGACCGCTCATCACCCCCAGCTCCTCCTGCAAGAAAACAAGCAAAACACTCAGGAAATACACCAACAAATATTATTAACAATGTGTGTTGGGTTCAAACCCCACTGCAGTCAGCATGTCGTTGTGTCAACAGAAGTCCACTCTGAAATGTGCAGCTTTTATCTATACGTCCCTTTGAACTTTGGATTATACTTGTTTTTTTATATGGATATGACTATTGTGGTTGCACTGGATTTAAAGAGAAAACTTCTGCAAAGTGCCGGATGCTGTCGAAGGTGAGCAAACACTATGAGAGTTCACTATGGAGTGAAAGGTACAGTATGACATAAAGAACAGGAAAATACATGTGTTGAAAAGTCAGAAAAATAACATCATTTGGAAATATTAAATCAGTAATCTAATTATTGTAAAAAATGAATAATAATAATAAAACAATAGATAAATGGTGCAAAAATAATGAAAAATTAAATTAAAAAAATGTGGAATTGCTTGAAGAAGAAAAAACATTTAGTGAGTAAAAATAAATAGAGAAATAAAAGATAAAGAAATAAAATATCTGCAAATAAAATACGATAAATAAAATAATAGATTTAAAAAATGGTATATAGTTATTCTGTCTAATAACTGTAATGGGTGCACATCTTTGAGAGAATATAACCCATTTTATGTATTATGATTATGTGATCACAACCCTCTGTCTCCACATGATCACATGTCCCTCATCATCTGATGGTCTCACCCTCAGAGCCTCCACCAGCGCCTCCACACGCAGAGCCTTCTTCCTGCAGCTCCTCCGGTTCTCCTGCAGCTCCTCCCTCAGGTCGCTGTCTCCATGCTGGATCTGACTGAGCTCCATCAGGGCGCCGCTGAAGCCCGACTTCAGCTCCGACACCATGCCCTGCAGCTGATCAGTCACAATGTGTATACATTCATCAAAGCGGCACAATAAAACACGTGTTCAAACTCCTGATGCTGTAAGCATTGTAAACTGACAGGGGCCCCTCTGACCTAAAAGCGGGACACTGTGAGCCGGCTCACTGGTGTGGGGTCGGCGAGACAGCGAGACACCGCGGAACTCAGCCTGGGCACACACACAAACTCCCAGCCAGGCTGCGGGTGTGTGTGTGTTTCGGGCTAGGTTTCGCTGTGTCTCAGACGGCCACAGCTCACAGGGAGGGGGGGGGGGGGTAGGAGCTCCAACAAGCCGTTTAGGACAGAGAGTGAATACACATACTATACACTAAAGATGCTGTATGAGAAACCAATGTGAGTTTGGAACATTGCACAATATACATTTATTCTAGTAGACCTCCACAATGGAATTATGATCAGTAGAAATGGCCATGACATGGGAGCTTTAACAGAGGATAATGAGAGGAGCTGCAGGATAAATACCTTTGAGATCTCAGAGACGAGCTCGGCCTCCTGAGGCTTCATGACCTTCAGAGACACAGAAACCGCACACAAACAACACAAACAACAGGGCTGTTTGCAAACTCGGTGATAATCTGCACAAACATCACAAGTGTCCAAAGCTGAGAAAATGAGTAAAGTAGAGTTTGCAAGTCCACTGTGCAGAGAAAGGCATGCTCTCTTGTAATTCACTCCAAAACACAAGATATCATTCTGAACTAAATGCATATTTAATTTGTGGAAAAAGGACAAAAACGATATTAACTCCAAATGTATTTCCAGTTGCTTCAAGCACAAATTAATTTAAAAACCAAAACAGCCTATGAATACTTTTCTGCAGAATATTCAGCCAAGTGTATTTATAATTTAACATATGTATATTTATTGCATTAATGTAAGCATACAATAATCAATTCTGCTTAATAATACAACATTAAGTTTTTAGTCAATTGAGTACATGGAAAATGAAGTAGTTTTGGTTTGAAGCACTGAAAACATCTAATTTATTTCACATGTCCCTACCTATATATTAAAGTGTATGCATTAACTACAAGAGTTCAAATCACATTATAACCCAGATCTAAAGAGTTACATCATGTACCTGCTCAGATGTTGCTCTGCCAGCAGCCGCTCTGCTGAGGAAGCGTCCGGCTGCCAGAGAGCTGCAGGAAATATCTGCCAGAGCCAAGATCTGCTTACAGACAGAAGGCAGGATCAGCAGAACAACTGAACATCCAACATGCAACACATTTGTGTTTTTGCAAAAATGCATAATTGAAACGCACGTTTAAACTGCCTAATAACAGATCTCCTTATATCACTTTCAAAATGTGCAGAAATCAATTTGTCCTGCAGGTTGTGAGACGTTCATGCTACTTAAAAGCATCTTATAACATTTTTAAACATGATAACAAGTGAGTGAAGTTAAATGAATAAAAGCAACAGGACTCGCCTCAGTTAGAGCTCTTAGATATCCCTTCTCCAGACATATGAAAAGAGGCAGTAAATCCCCCCAAAAGACCCCAAATATCCAGTGCTTCCTCCTCTGTGGAGACGTGTGGATGTAGTGATGAGCGGTGTGTGTGTGTGTGTGTGTGTCTTCTGTGTAGCAGACTGCGTGTATGAGGTGTTTCTCAAGGAAGTCACGTTCAGTGTGTATCATGTAAACACCGTACAGGAAACACTTTACTATATTATTGTAAAACAGTATATTGTTGTGCATTTGTGTAAATGTTTTCCTTTTCAACATTTTATTGAATAGAAACCCTTTTTTGCATGTTTGATGAAATCCAGAGTAGTATTATAATAATATAGACCTCTGCATGACGTTAAGCGTGTATATATTTGGACCTAACAATTTAAACTTCAAATAAAAGACTATATTAAATCATCAAGTGCAATAATAATAATAAATAAACAATAATATCGTAATAATAATTATATTTAAAGTTGGTTTACAAATAAATAAATTAACTAAACCCCTGCTACTATAACTACGAGTAAGATGCTGATATTTGATTATTACATTTAAATTTAAAATTAAAAAATATATTTAAAAATTGTAAATTATGTGCAAAATAATTATGGAAATTAAATCCAAAGTGTGTAATAACTCCTAAAACATTTACAAAATAGGCTACATAACATACAAATACATTTTATATTTAGTGTTATTTATGTGCAGAATATATCAACTAAAATAGTATGTTCATATATTGTGTTATTGTGTATATTTACTGCATGATTTTACTCGGTTTCACGTTGAGACCATCGTTGAGAAACGTAGAACATTACGTTAATAGATTTTATCACCAGGTCCCAGAAAACGGGAGAGATGATTTTGTCGCCTATGATTTCCCTTTAATTTTCTTCACTCCGCCCGTGTGGATCAATCCGCAGACTAAATGGAGCAGCACTGTTTTGTGGAGGGGCGTGGTTAAGGGGCAGTACTTGAATCTGATTGGCCGCTTGACCAGTTGAAACTTTTCAAATCTACAGCAGCTGACGGAGCTGTCAAAACAGCCGGTGAGCGAGGTGAGAAATAACGACAATTAATACTGTATTTATCCACATTTATGTATGGCTTTAACACTACACAGCTTCCAATTAATCTCTTATAACAGCTACTTAAAGATATTTGATATAGTTCCTCTTTGTTTGGCGACTTTGTCTCATAAATTAGCTTTAAAGCTAACGTTAGCTAACTGACTGTCAGTAACACATGTCTCTCTGAACGTCATTCATATAAATAATAATAATTAAAACTGTAAATGTTAAATAAGGTGTTGTGTTTCAATATGTTTTGGGTATCAGAGCTAGCTTTAGCCAGAGTATAGCAGGTTTTATTCCTAGTTTTAAGGTCTGTGTTTAGCCTAGCTCTTGACATGTTAGCTTATTTAAAGGACCGATGTTTACCTTGGTTGCTGATTGGCTAATGGTTACATAAGCCAACAAATCACACAGCTTTTGGAGCACAGCAACAGTTTCCAAAGTGGTCTTGTTGTTTTTTTAAGAAGTTATTGCCTTTGCTATATCTTCCTTTTGAAAACGTGACATTGAGGTTTTTACAATGTTTCTGTAATACTTTTTTAATCCAAACCATTATTCTAAAAAGTAATCTGCAGATGAATCGAAACTGATGTATTTAGTTAAGAACACTTTTAATCAGATTTAGTTTACAGGGCTAAACCAACAGCTTTGTCCAATAGTCAAATGCACAGCAGAGAATGCATTTTTTAATATATATTTATTTGATATATGTTATTCTTCCTCCCTGCAGTGTGTTGCTCTGCAGCGATGAGGACGAGTGAGTTTGACTCTTCATCTGAAGAAGAGGATGCTGCAGACCAGCAGCTCGCACCCTTCCAAGTCTCCTGGTGAGAGCTTCTTATAATATATATAATTTGTTTGTTTTTATTATATATGTTTAAATTGTTTTATAATAATTGTATATGTCGTATATAAACAGAAAAAATATACATCTTACATTTAAAGCAAAAGGGCTGGTCGGTGCTGGTTTTCCTACAGAACAAATACAACTATATTTTAAATATAAGATGCGGTGCTAATCTCTTTAATGGTGGTTAATAAATACACTTTATTAGGTGCAATACTACCTCTTTAAAGTGGACCTATCATGCTATTTTTAGACAATAGCATAGGTCTCAGATATATAAAAATTAGGGCTGTCAAACGATTACAATTTTTAATCAGATTAATCACATATGCCATTTATTTATGTATATTGTTGTGGGAATGGAAAGATAAATGAAAGACGGCGGATATATCCATTTAACATACAGTATATGTTTATTATAACATTGTTCTGTGTGTCAAAATGAAAGATAGCCCACACACCTATCAATCATCAAACCGTGGGGTCTTAATTCATTACGTGTTGATTTCTATCAACGGGGGAGTACTTCAGGAAAGTCGACGGGGGGGGGGGGGGGGGGCCAGTGGAGTACTTCGTGACCACAGAGTGTGAACGCTGTTTTAGCGCAGTTCTCCAGTGAAGGGGGGGAGTCTCCCTCCGCAGCCGGTTGGCGTAGTTTTGGCACAATTCCGTTGTACAGACCGACGTTAACAGCAGCCCTGTCTGTGCACACGGAGACCGACTCTGTCGTCCGGTGATCTAACCGCCTTCTGGAAAAGCTTCACAAGTACGTGAATGCAAATGCGCAATGCAAATGCCATGCAATGCGATGCAATGCAAATGCGCTTTGTGACACAAGTGACGGTACACATTTCAGATTACGCACATAACCTGCGTACCAGTTATGTGCACTCCTGTACTACAGCAAAAGTATTCTCCGTCGGGACTTCCTGCAACAACACCACGCCGTTATCTTTATTATGATTGGCCAGAAGACATTATCAAAGATGTTCTATTGAGAAGACGATCACTACGTGACAAAAGTTTTCAAAACCGTGGCTACTGAAATCAATCTTACTAACTGCTGTCTGTGCAATTTACTCCGCGAGTTGGCAGACTTTATTTTGCTTACTTTAACATCATTTTTCATGGTGGGGCTAAGCCATTTCTTGGTATGGGTGTAGCCTACCCCAGCCATACCCTGGCGCTGTCACTGGTGGCACGTATGGGGCGAGCCATTCTGCACATGCGTTAAATGCGTTAAATATTTTAACGCAATTAATTCAAAAAATTAATTACCGCCGTTAACGCGATAATTTTGACAGCACTAATACAATATATAAAAAACATGTCTATGAAGTGTTTTGCTCAAAATACCAAACAGATCACCCATTCTAGCCATGCCTCATATCCCTCTATTTCACTTCCTGTTTCTAAAGTGCTGATTTGGGGATAAAGCTTTAAAAATAAAAATAATAATTGATAACAAATAAAAAAGTATGGGTCTGAGCTCATGCGGGACCCGGCAGCTACTGTCTAAACTAAATGCTGCCGTGATGAAACTCCATATCATGGATTATCAAGGATTGTCTCTGAAACAGTCTGGAGCTCAAAGGCTTTCTCTCTTGCCAGTTATACCACAAGGTGAGTTCCTTTTTACTTCCTGCTTCTTCACACACATGCTCTCCAGTACAGGTTAGCTCTGAGTGTTAGCGATGCTAATGGAAACACCGACCATATTACGTCCAAAACAGTCGGGCATTGTTTCTGATAGCAACGTTTCTGATTGGGCCGTGGGTCCACATTTCAGATATTATGTCATATCGGACGCAAATCTGGATCAGCTCCGTTGTTCCCCGTTTTTAGAGATTTGGGTACGGAGGAAAAGAGAGAGGGTTGTATTTTTTATTTTGTAATAGTTTTTGTAATATTCCTTTTTTTTCATCAATTTACTTCTTATTCAACATTTTTAATTATCTTACTGTGTATTTATACACCTTAGCAAATGACTTTTACTCAGAGTTGGGTGTAACGCGTTACAAAGTAACTGTAATAATATGACTTGTCGGTAACGGAGTAGTGTAACGCGCTACTTTTATAATTCAGTAATCACACTACAGTTACTAACATTGCCCCGACACACGTTACTTCGTTACTTACTAAAATCAGTCATAATCAAACCTCAACAAACACCTGCAAAGAACGCATGCTAAGGTGAAGCTAACGCACAGCTATTTGTTGTTTGTTTATATCACGTAGTCTGTTCTTCTTCTCTGTTTTCCGGTTGTTGCCTGTTTTGAATGACGAATACACACTACCGCCGCCTGCTGGTAAGGAGAGTTATTGCCACTCACGCATGCGCAGTTCGTACGTGCTCGGCTGAAGTCTTTGCGGTGTCTGGTTCCAGTGCAACACATGGCCAACACGCAGGAGAACACGCCGACGCAACAGCGTGAGCAGAGATAGACTGCGCAAAATATACAGATAGCAGGAGACAGAGGACAGCCACGGTCAGATAGGAGAACATTCAGGATCTGGATCAGTCTTATGCGACAATGGAAACTGAACTAAAGAGAACATTTGAAACTTTAGCAGTCTGCGTGATCTGCCTGCAGGGAGGGGCGGGCCGGCCCTGCGAGTAAAGTAACGAGTTACTTTATGTAGAGAGTAACGAAGTAGTGTAATATATTACTTTTTTTTAAAAAAGTAATATGTAATATATTACTTTTTTTTAGTAACGACCCCATCTCTGCTTGTACTACACATTTATAAACCTCTGATTCTGATCTTTGACAAAGTGAAAATCAGCTTGTTTTTAAATGAAAAATGTAAAACAAGCTTCACTGTGTCGTTTGTATTATATTTATATATTTCTTTATTGTCTCTCAGGTTACCTCTGTCCGTAGTGGAGAGCTCGCAGTTTCTGGGGATTTGTGCACTACCAGGTAAAGTCCAACTATATATAACTTTATATATATATCTTGTTTTACTTTTTTAAACGAACAATAATATAAACTCTTTCCTTTATTTGACTTCAGGCTGCAAATTCAAAGACATCCGCCGGAGTCTGGAGAGAGACGTTGGTAAGACGACATCTATCTTTACTGCTGCTTAAATAAATACTCAATATTAACACATGGGGTCAGGTATTCGGTACAGAAGAGTGAACATTGGATAAAGCCATGTTCAAAATCCTTGCTTCATTTTGTTGACATATTAGAGCAGGGGTGTCAAACTCAAGGCCCGGGGGCCAAATCCGGCCCGCCACTTCATTTTATGTGGCCCTGCAAGAGCTTACAAAGAATATAATGAGTTTATTATAATGTTACGTGCCGCTTTACAGGAGAACGTTGCTCATAAACTATATGTCCCACAATGCATCTCATTTTGTGACATGCACAATGAAGAGACTTGCAATTATTTTCCCTAGACTTCTGCTTTCAGACGTAGTTAATTATGAAGTTATTACCCTATCCGATAATAATCCAATGAAGAGGCAATAGTGTAAAATAATACATTATTGTATATTTATCTATGTATATTTATCTAGTCTTAAAGTTACCACTGGCCCTTTGAGTGCAACCATAATTCTAATGTGGCCCGCGATGAAATTGAGTTTAACACCCCTATATTAGAGTCAAACGTTTTAACCCTAACCCTCTTTGTATCACTCTATATATCAGGAAATATATGACTTTCTGCACGTTTTCAGTAATAAATTGTGTAAAAAAAACATGCTATGGAACCTAAATAGCCTCTCAGTTGAGCAGTGCATGAGTTTTCTTGTTTTAACATCTCGTCTTCCTTGTTCTCAGAGGAGCTGCAGAGCCAGGGGGTGCAGGATGTGTTTGTTTTCTGCACCAGAGGAGAGCTGAGTAAGTACCGGGTACCCTCCCTGCTGGAGGTGTACGAGCAGCGAGGTTTCACCGTGCATCACACTCCCTTCCCCGACGGAGAGGCACCGCCGATGGAGCTGAGCTGCAGGATCCTGGAGGAGCTGCAGCTCAGCATGCGGAGCAGCAGGAGGACCGTCATACAGTGAGTGAGAGCTGTCGACCAATCACAATAGAGCCGGCCAGCTAACCAATCAGATCAGACTGGGCTCTGGTTTCAGACAGAGGGTGAAAAGAGGTGCTGCAGCACAGGCAGTATGAGAAAAATAAAGAGCTTTTTGAACATTAAAACATGGAGACACGTCACAGTAGAGACACTACATACTGATATACACCTGAACATCAGCAGGAGAGGACTCTTTAAAGTAGAGACACTACATACTGATATACACCTGAACATCAGCAGGAGAGGACTCTTTAAAGTAGAGACACTACATGCTGATATACACCTGAACATCAGCAGGAGAGGACTCTTTAAAGTAGAGACACTACATACTGTTTTACACCTGAACATCAGCAGGAGAGGACTCTTTAAAGTAGAGACACTACATACTGATATACACCTGAACCTCAGCAGGAGAGGACTCTTTAAAGTAGAGACACTACATACTGATATACACCTGAACCTCAGCAGGAGAGGACTCTTTAAAGTAGAGACGGACTGAAAACCAGCAGTGATAATAAGGCTGCTGCTGGATCAGGTTTCACTTTGTAAATCCAGGACTTGTAAATTCTCCTGAGGCTTTCCATCCCTCAGAGAGCTGATAGAGCCGTTCACCAGGAAACTGATTACCCATAATGCATCAGAGAGTAACCATTTTAAAGGGATAGTGGAAATCCGCGAATTTTGGGTTTAACTTATGTATTTTTATTAAAAATAAGCATAATAAACCATTTTTTTTAATTTCATGCGCCTAGTTTCATTTTATTTTCAATTTTACTGCGCCCTCTCAATGAAACGAAATACTTCGGGAATCGTCGGGAATCTTCGGGTGATGACGAGAGCATAGGAAGACGGGCACAAACAATGGCGGACATTCAATAGCATTTGCATGTGAATAGCCGAGTATATTTCCATAAATATGATGATTGATTATCAGTAAAAAATTCTACGTGACACAACGACATTGGATTAACCTTGAGATGCGTTTTTATTCCGTTGAACACAACTTTTGATCACAAATCAAAAAAGGTAAGACGTAATTATTGTAATATTTTTGGAACCGGATGTTGTTTACTTTCTCTTTTCTGGCTGATAGCTCCAGGAATTCGAGGTCTTACAGTGATGACATTACACCTGTGGAGTCTCAGCTTTAAATCGTATATCTTGTTTGTGCAGTTAAGATAGTAATAAGGGCATTTCTACCGTGTGTTGTGTGTAAAAAAGCGTTAGCATTAGTTAGCATTGTTTCGCTCAATGCTAATTCAAAGGCTTGGTATTACTCTTGTGTTTTTTCTAGCTAACAATTGTTCTTATTGTCAGTTAGCGGAGTTTCTTACCTTTAAAAGGGTATGAAACATTAATAGTTTCATAAATGTTAAGAAGCCCTGAGACATGTGAGAGAAAAAAAACTGTGGGAGGGGTCCACTGGGGGGACCTTCGGGCTTAACTGGTTAACAATGATTCATATTTGTAAAGGCTACAGGTGATCTTAAGATGCGTGAGCTATGCTTAGGGACCTACCAGTCAAGATTATTTGTGCGTAGGGGTGCATCATCTGGCGCCTGGTCCTGGTCATCCTCGCCATTGCCCATGCCGTGAACCATCACCTCGGGCTCGAACAAATAAGGACGTAATGGTCCATCGTCTGGCTCAATATTGTCACCATCGTCGCTTACTGAACCGGATTCAGATTCAGTTCCTAAAACGACATTTTCGTAGGAAAGCCGAGAGGATGTTTCTGACTCGCTATCATCACTGGATACCTCGTACAATCCTTCTTCTTTGTCTGGTATATTTGCCCTTCCACGTTCATTCTGCATAGACGCCATGGTTTGTTATCGTATCGTCTTCCTAAGTTTTCGTCACTTCCGGTTTGGCTGAGTCGAACATTTCGTTTCTAAAAAACTTCGGGGAAGCTGCAATAAAGTGCTTCTAACATGCGTAAGGCAATTATTATATATTTTTAATCAGGTGTGATTGTTTTGGTACGTAATTATGCTTGTATATAAGTTAAAACGAAACTATTTGAGGTTCCATTTCCACTATCCCTTTAATGTGAAGCAGGGTATAATGGCTGTTTATACAATGCACCAGGTTCCTAGGCCCCTTAGTCTGCAGCATTTCAGACTCCAGAAATCTCAAACCCTTTTGTGAAGACGTAATGCACTCACGAGAGGCAGGTAAACCTCCAACGAGGGTTTGTTGAAAATAAATTACAGCGTCACTCAGCAGGTTATTTCCACGTCTACAAAACTTGAGTTATTTTTATAACATTTGGAAAACCAGAAGTCTCTGAACTAAGACATGTTTCCCCTCGGGACGTCTCTCGTTACACAATTCAACAATTTTCCTCCAGCTTTCACTGTTTCGACGAGATATTTTTACACTTTTCTTTCCTCTTCAGCTGCTACGGAGGCCTGGGACGCTCGGGATTAAGTAAGTATATTTCACTCATGCTTTTATTTAGAAAATCAAGATCAAATTGTTCTTTAAATGTTTAAATTGAACCGTTTTTTTATTGTGTTTCCAGTCGCCGCCTGCCTGCTGCTGCAGCTCTCTGTAACGATGACTCCTAACAAAGCCATAGAGATCCTGAGGGAGCACCGAGGAGGAGGAGCCATTCAGACGGTGAAGGTGAGACCTCTGACAATCCTCTCAATCTCATGCATTTAAATAACTACAGTCCACTGCAGCTTTTGCATGTTTATCCCCATTAAACATGCAGATACTTAGATGATGTGATGTCGATTTTACAACTTAAAGTTCACCTATTATGCAAAATTCTCTTCTTCATGTCTTTTGTACATCAACATATGTCCCCTCTTCTTCACGTCTCTTCTACATCAACATGTGTCCCCTCTTCTTCATGTCTCTTCTATCAACATGTGTCCCTTCTTCTTCACGTCTCTTCTACATCAACATGTGTCCCTTCTTCTTCACGTCTCTTCTACATCAACATGTGTCCCTTCTTCTTCACGTCTCTTCTACATCAACATGTGTCCCCCCTTCTTCATGTCTCTTCTATAAACATGTGTCCCCTCTTCTTCATGTCTCTTCTACATCAACATGTGTCCCCTCTTCTTCATGTCTTTTCTATAAACATGTGTCCCCTCTTCTTCATGTCTCTTCTACATCAACATGTGTCCCCCCTTCTTCATGTCTCTTCTATAAACATGTGTCCCCTCTTCTTCATGTCTCTTCTACATCAACATGTGTCCCCTCTTCTTCATGTCTCTTCTACATCAACATGTATCCCCTCTTCTTCATGTCTCTTCCACATCAACATGTGTCCCCTCTTCTTCATGTCTCTTCCACATCAACATGTGTCCCCTCTTCTTCATGTCTCTTCTACATCAACATGTGTCCCCTCTTCTTCATGTCTCTTCTACATCAACATGTGTCCCCTCTTCTTCATGTCTCTTCTATCAACATGTGTCCCTTCTTCTTCACGTCTCTTCTACATCAACATGTGTCCCTTCTTCTTCACGTCTCTTCTACATCAACATGTGTCCCTTCTTCTTCACGTCTCTTCTACATCAACATGTGTCCCCTCTTCTTCATGTCTTTTCTATAAACATGTGTCCCCTCTTCTTCATGTCTCTTCTACATCAACATGTGTCCCCCCTTCTTCATGTCTCTTCTATAAACATGTGTCCCCTCTTCTTCATGTCTCTTCTACATCAACATGTGTCCCCTCTTCTTCATGTCTCTTCTACATCAACATGTATCCCCTCTTCTTCATGTCTCTTCCACATCAACATGTGTCCCCTCTTCTTCATGTCTCTTCCACATCAACATGTGTCCCCTCTTCTTCATGTCTCTTCTACATCAACATGTGTCCCCTCTTCTTCATGTCTCTTCTACATCAACATGTGTCCCCTCTTCTTCATGTCTCTTCTACATCAACATGTGTCCCCTCTTCTTCATGTCTCTTCTACATCAACATGTATCCCCTCTTCTTCATGTCTCTTCTACATCAACATGTGTCCCCTCTTCTTCATGTCTCTTCTACATCAACATGTGTCCCTTCTTCTTCACGTCTCTTCTACATCAACATGTGTCCCTTCTTCTTCACGTCTCTTCTACATCAACATGTGTCCCCTCTTCTTCATGTCTTTTCTATAAACATGTGTCCCCTCTTCTTCATGTCTCTTCTACATCAACATGTGTCCCCCCTTCTTCATGTCTCTTCTATAAACATGTGTCCCCTCTTCTTCATGTCTCTTCTACATCAACATGTGTCCCCCTCTTCTTCATGTCTCTTCTACATCAACATGTATCCCCTCTTCTTCATGTCTCTTCCACATCAACATGTGTCCCCTCTTCTTCATGTCTCTTCCACATCAACATGTGTCCCCTCTTCTTCATGTCTCTTCTACATCAACATGTGTCCCCTCTTCTTCATGTCTCTTCTACATCAACATGTGTCCCCTCTTCTTCATGTCTCTTCTACATCAACATGTGTCCCCTCTTCTTCATGTCTCTTCTACATCAACATGTATCCCCTCTTCTTCATGTCTCTTCTACATCAATATGTGTCCCCTCTTCTTCATGTCTCTTCTACATCAACATGTGTCCCCTCTTCTTCATGTCTCTTCTACATCAACATGTGTCCCCTCTTCTTCATGTCTCTTCTACATCAACATGTGTCCCCTCTTCTTCATGTCTCTTCTACATCAACATGTGTCCCCTCTTCTTCATGTCCCCTCTTCTTCATGTCTCTTCTACATCAACATGTGTCCCCTCTTCTTCATGTCTCTTCTACATCAACATGTGTCCCCTCTTCTTCATGTCTCTTCTACATCAACATGTGTCCCCTCTGTGTAAAGAGACTCTGAAAGTTTCAGGAACAAAGATTCTCTCTCTTTTTGATCCATTTCTATAAAAACCTGTCTGAAAATGAGCTGATCAGATTTTGGCCACTTTATGATGTCATAACGATGTTTTGTCTTGTGTAACCATTAGCCAATCAGCAACCAAGGTAACCCCCCCCCCCCCCCTTATCACCTGAATCTCCTCCTAGAGCACCATTGAGTTCTTTGTAACCAAATGTCTCTCAGAGGGGCGTGGGGAGGGGCTCCTTATTTTCATCTAAAGTAACAGACAGAGAATCAGCACTTTGGAAACAGGCTGAAACAGAGGGGATTATGGGTAATGCTGCAATGACCTGTTTGGTGTTTGGAGCCAATCAGAGACATGTTTTGTATATATCTGAGACCTGTAATATATTGATGAAAAACAGTTTAATAGGGGACCTTTAAGGCTGCATCTTTTACCTAGTACGTGATAATAAAAAAAACTCAAAATGTGCTCCAGATAATTTAGTTATGTTCTTATAATCGGTTTGTTTGCTTTGACTATGTTCAATTTCTTTTGCTTTCATATTCAATGAGCAAACATGTGAAGTAACAACGTTCCATCACATTTCCCCGCAGCAATACAACTTCCTGCATGAGTTTCGGGAAAGCTTCGCAGCGTACCAGCAGAGCAGAGAGGTTTCCACAGAGCGCGGCGCGTCGCGGTGAAAATTAAATATGTATTTCCGCTAACGTGTGTGTGTGTGTGTGTGTGTGTGTGTGTGTGTGTGTGTGTGTGTGTGTGTGTGTGTGTGTGTGTGTGTGTGTGTGTGTGTGTGTGTGTGTGTGTGTGTGTGTGTGTGTGTGTGTGTGTGTGTGTGTGTGTGTGTGTGTGTGTGTGTGTTTTTTTTTTGTTAAACTGGAGGGCTTTCTGTCTTTATAGAAACGTGTATCCAATCAGCTGCATCTTCTGAATTTTTCTCCATATTTGTAACTTTGCAAGCTGGTACTTTACTGCTACATGTTATTGGCAAGGTGCTATATACATTGTTTTAATTGCATATCTACTGGCTTCCAGAGGAGAATCGCACAGATCCTTAAAATGTTTAAAAAAGGCTTTGAACTCAATTATCATAAGATTAGACGTATTGGTAATAAATATCTTTGAAAAATGCTTTTCCTGTTTTTTCATCATTATTCTTTTACCTTTTTAAACAGCTTTCAATTATAATAAACGTAACTGAGGTCAAAATATTAACACAAATCAGTAATCATCGGAAAAATATTTAAAACATTTCCACAGAACCTTGAATAAAATGTAAGTATATTAGAAATTATTTGTAAATAAAATGTCTTTAAAATACATACAATTATGCTTTTTGTCTTAATTTTCTTTCATTTAAAAAAATAGAACTTTTTGGAAACCTCAAAATATTTGGGTTAAAATTCCTCTCCCATTAATACAGTTTCGGGTGAACTTGACTTAAAATGATCCCTCACCCTTAGTAGTTGATTTTCTTAAAAGTTGTAAATCCTGATTGTCACTCAAAGAATTAAAGGGGACCTATCATGCGAAATGCACTTTTTGATGTCTTCTATACATCAATGTGTGTCAGGGAACTCACGCAGCGTCAGAAAATAAAACCCTCTCTCTTTTCCTCCGTACCCAAATCTCTAAAAACGGGTAACAACGGAGCTGATCCAGATTTGCGTCCGATATGACGTAATATCTGAAATGTGGACCCACGGCCCAATCAGAAACGTTGCTATCAGAAACAATGCCTGACTGTTTTGGACGTAATATGGTCGGTGTTTACATTAGCATCGCTAACACTCAGAGCTAACCTGTACTGGAGAGAGCGGGTGTTTCTCAATGTCGAGGACGCTTCCTTGGTAGGACAAGTCTTCCGAGTCAGGTCCTTCAGAAGCTAGGGAAGAATCCTGGCTTCCTGGCATTCTGAGAACGAAGAGTGGAACAGGCGAGCAAGTGTGCGTCATATGAGAGGCCCCGCCTTACATTTTCCGCCACAGATTTGGGAAATTGGTCCGTGCGCAAAGCATTGTGGGGATTTTAAGACCGCGGAGGATACGTGCAGCCTCGAAATTTCTACGAAGGACACCGGGCTCGGTAGAATTCCAAGAGCCTGGACCACGGAACAGTCCTTCGGCGGGACTCGATGACATAGCATCCTTGAAATAGTGGCTCTGGAGCATCCTTCCTTGACATTGAGAAACACCCAGCATGTGTGTGAAGAAGCAGGAAAATCCATGATATGGCGTTTCATCACGGCAGTATCTGCCGGTAGAATCTCCCGCATGAGCAGGCATAAGCTCCGCCCCTCTTTTTTATCAAATTTTTTTTTTTATTAAGCTTTATACCCAGAATCAGCACTTTTGAAACGGGAAGTGAAATAGAGGGATATGAGGCATGGCTAGAATGGGTGAGCTGTTTTGTATTTTGAGCAAAACACTTTATAGACATGTTTTTTATATATCTGAGACCTATGCTATTGCCTACAAATACCATCATAGGTGACCTTTAAATCTAACATGCAACAAGCTGTAGGAGCCATGTACTAATTTCCCTTTAAAAAAAAAAAAACATATCATTTGAGTCCAGAAAACAGAGTGGGATAGTTTTTTTTATTTAGATTCAAATAAACTCAAGTTGTCATTTTCTAGATGTGACATGAATGAATACATAAAAATGTTCAGTCTCCCGTTCCCTGATAAATGGCAATAAATACTCAGGAGTATTTATGAAAACGTCCTGTCTAACGGCCTCAACTCTAAACTGCTGGATAATGACCCGACACTGCGAGGAGTGTTTGATATCTTGGAGACATAAAAAAACAAAAACAATAAATAAACACTGAAGTTCCTAACGATGGAATATTTGGTGCTGAAATGAACAGAAAGCACAAAAACAAAGGAAATGTAAAAAGGTACATTCAACAGTATAGCAAGTTTTCTACCAAATTTCTAAATCAGAAGAACAGTGTTGCTCATTAATGCTGAACATATGAATATACTGTTGAGTTTACCCTTAATTTAGTACAGAAATACAAGTCACAACACATTGCTGGCTACTCTGGATTCACACTTAAGAAACATATTGCCATGGATTTCACATACAATGGCCGACGGGTGGGAACGCGCTACAACGGCCCTGAAACATTTCCATCAGGAGAAACACGCTGCATATGTGCCAAAACACGTGAAGAAACATCTTTACCAACTTGAGGAAACATGCAGCGATAAAGAAAACATTCACCAACTTGAGGAAACATGCGCAGCGTTTACTAAAAGCTGCAGAAACCAAACGCTGCAAATACAAAACGCTGCAAGAAGCTGAAAACACAACGGAGACCAGGGGACACTAAAGAGTGACGCACACAGCTGGAGACCAGGGGACACTAAAGAGTGACGCACACAGCTGGGAGACCAGGGGACACTAAAGAGTGACGCACACAGTTGGGACCGGAGCGCTTGGTGACGTTCAGGATTAAACGTGACTCACCAAGTGCTCCGGTCCCAGCTGTGTGCGTCACTTATTAGTGTCCCCTGGTCTCCCAGCTGTGTGCGTCACTTATTAGTGTCCCCTGGTTCCCGTTGAGCTTCTTGCAGAGTTTGTTGATGTTTCCATATTTGCATCGTTTCTGAATCTGTAATGTGTTGGCCATGGAGCGTTTTGGGCCGTTGCAACACGTTTGCACCCGCCAGCCACCGTATTAACAGGGATTACTTGATGTGATGCACGTCTAAATATATCAGATTAAAAACTGATGCGACAACCACGTTATGATTGTCCCCGTGCAACACGCCTCACTAAGTGATTTCAAACCAATGCACGTCACTGTAACTCCCAAAAAAACGTACATTTTTCTTAAGTCTCGTCTGCATTTAACTACTGGTTTTAGTGTCGATAATGAATCACGCTGCAGGTATAATTTAGCTGCTAAAAGCCCAGAATCTAATTCACAGGAAAAGCTAACGCGGCAACCGTCTGCCTATAGTTGTAAACACTCAAAATCTGGGAGAAAAAAAACAAACTTTATTTAAATCCCAAAGCATCAAAATCACCACATCAATAAAAAGGAAGAAAAATGAACTTGTCCTTCAGGTTTTTCCTTAGTTTCCAAAACATTTTAACTAGTGCTATGAGAGGAACGCTGCAACGAGATATTCTCTTTAAATCGGGGTTCATGTTTCCGGAAATGCGCTGTTTTTGCGCGCGTGTGTGTGTGTGTGTGTGTGTGTGTGTAAGGGGGGTTTTGAGAGTTCGTCTGTTGTCAGGTGTTTCTGAGCGTCGGTCCAGTTTCCCGCACTAACATCATCAGCGTCTGCTTTCTGGCATCCTTCAGCTTCCTTTAGGAGCTCACCAGAACATAGATCATCCTGTTAGAAACAAGAAAGAACAAGTTGGACACCTACAAATGTTGGATTTTACATCTCAGGGGTCATTAGGACCTATAAAACAGCTAAGGGACGTTGGATATAACAGCTAAGGGAGGTTGGTTTTTACAGTTAAGGGCGTTGAGGGATGTTGGATTCTAAATCTCGAGTCATTTTGTCCTATAATACAGCTAAGGGATGTTGATTTTACACTTAAGGGGTTTTGGATTTGAAATCTCAGGCTATAATGTCCTAAAATACAGTTAAGGGATGTTGGATTTTATAGTTAAGGGCCGTTATGTCAAATAACACAGTTAAGGGAGGGTGGATTTTAGGGTTAAGGGATGTTGGATTTTATAGTTAAGGGTCGTTATGTCATATAACACAGTTAAGGGAGGGTGGATTTTAGGGTTAAGGGCCGTTATGTCAAATAACACAGTTAAGGGAGGGTGGATTTTAGGGTTAAGGGATGTTGGATTTTATAGTTAAGGGTCGTAATGTCAAATAACACAGTTAAGGGAGGGTGGATTTTAGGGTTAAGGGATGTTGGATTTTATAGTTAAGGGTCGTAATGTCAAATAACACAGTTAAGGGAGGGTGGATTTTAGGGTTAAGGGCCGTTATGTCAAATAGCACAGTTAAGGGAAAGTGGATTTTAGGGTTAAGGGATGTTGGATTTTATAGTTAAGGGTCGTAATGTCCAAATAACACAGTTAAGGGAGGGTGGATTTTAGGGTTACGGGATGTTGGATTTTACTTTAGAGGTCATGTCCTATAAAACAGTTAAGGGACGTTGGATATAACAGTTAAGGGATTTTGGATTTAACGTCGGAGGGTCATTTTGTCCTATAATACAGCTAAAGGATGTTGATTTTACACTTAAGGGATTTTGGATCTGAAATCTCAGGCTATAATGTCCTAAAATACAGTTAAGGGAGGGTGGATTTTATAGTTAAGGGATGTTGGATTTTATAGTTAAGGGCCGTTATGTCAAATAACACAGTTAAGGGAGGGTGGATTTTAGGGTTAAGGGATGTTGGATTTTATAGTTAAGGGTCGTAATGTCAAATAACACAGTTAAGGGAGGGTAATTTTAGGGTTAAGGGATGTTGGATTTTATAGTTAAGGGCTGTTATGTCTATAAAACAGTTAAGGGACGTTGGATATAACAGTTAAGGGATTTTGGATTTAACATCGGAGGGTCATTATGACCTATAAAACAGTTAAGGTAGGTAGAATTTTACTGTTAAGGGATTTTGGATTTGACATCTGAGGGTTGTTACATTCTATAATATATTTGTGGGGTGTTGGATTTTATAGTTAAGGGTCATTAATAAAACAGTTAAGGGATATTGGATTCTACAGTTAAGGGATTTCAGATTTTAAATTTCAGGGTCATAATGTCCTAGAAAACAATTAGGGGTTGAATTTAACGTAAAGGGACGTTGGATTTCTCACCTAAGGGTCGTTCTATTATAAGGTGTAGGGACGTCACAAGAAACAATAATTCGATAGCAAGTCGATGCTTAAATTCACAAACCGCGTTGGTACCTCTGGTCCTGGGAGCTTATAGTTTGATAGCAAGGCTTTAAAAAAATGATAGGAGAGAGTAAACTCACCTGTTAACATTATAATGCTATATTGTTAAAATATATCAAAGTAAAATTGACAGAAGTGCGATTGACTTGCATTATGCTGCGTTCAAGCATTACTCCATAAACATGAGCTACAATGTTAGCCACGGTCTGAATGAAGCGTTTTAAAAGCTGTCGTCCTGCAACCAGAACTCCCTGATCAGGAGTTCAGACGTTTTACTATTCTTAATCATTATCCCGTTATCTGGCATCCTTTTTGACCCACTTTTGCAATTAAATCCCATCTGAAATCAGTTGAATTTTGCCGCTGAATTACAGCAGCAAAATTCAACAACATAATAATTGTGAGTTTCGAAGGCAAATAAGCACCAAACCCAATCTGCTCTAGACTTTTTACATTTAGAAATATGGCAGATTGCCCTAGATGAAGTTAACTCCATGATTGTTACAAACTACATATCCCCAGATAAAATTATTTTTAAAAGAAAATCACTTTACAACCAAGTTAAAAAGAGTTTCTGTACCCGTAGAGATAGTAGAAGAAGGACAGCAGGTAGAAAGCCAGTTTGCACCAGCCTTCTTTTTGACAGAAGGCCAGGATGTCAGCGTTCATGATGGTGGTCGGGTCGTAGAGCCCCGGACTGCTCATCACCGGTCTGCTCATATACCTGCAGCACGGGGACACAAAGACATGGTCATTGTCAGCCAGCTGCAAGGCATCATGGGAGTTGTAGTCTTTAGCTTCTCCCAGTTAGGATTCCTGCAGTGTCCATGGTTCAGGAGGTTTTAACAAATCAGTTTTCCCTGCACGCTGTTATGGCTAACGATTATTTTTAGTATCGCTTTAATCTGCTGATAATTTTCTAGATTAATAGTTTGGTTTTATTTATTCTCGTTACTCAGAGTCCAAGGTGATGTCTTCAGCTGTGTTGTTGTCAGTCCATATCCCAGAGATATTACTTTAATTTGATATTAAATAGAGAAAAGCAGAACTTAAAACTTGATGTGAATTATCCTAAAATGAAATAATTCAAACGGGAACATGATATACCTCCTTGAATCTGACTATTCTGTACTTTGTCCTGCACACTAAATGGCTCATCGTGTATTAATAGATAAAGCATTCTAACTGGTTATTCATTTATGAGCGATACCCACCTCCAGACATGATAGGCGAACAGCGGCAGGTTGAGAGAGAGCGTCAGCCACTCGGCCGCGCAGAAGAACATCACGCAGAAGAAGAAATGGATGAGATACTCTGGGAGAACCAGCTTAAAAACAGAGCAAAATAAAAACAACATGTTAAAATACACGAGCATTTAACCGTGAACCTCCTTGTTCTTATAACCCTGTATACTCGTTTACTGCCAGTCAAATTGCCTCACTAAAGACTTAATCATTCATTGAAGTGACAGAGATAATGAGGCCTCTTTACAAAGAGCTATTTTAACTGCAGTCAGCTCCACAGAGAGTCAGAGACAGGAGGAGTGAAATATTAATGAGCTGCTTTAATTAACAATGCAATATGTTATTAAGCCTCCTGTCGCACTCTCATGCCCCTCTGCTGCAGGTTACATATGTAAACAGTGCTTCATCATGCACCCATCTGACATACTGCGTAACACAGTTAACAGGGAGGGAAATGAAGGCCTGCCACCTGCAAAATGAGAGTGATTTTAACACTAACATGAGGAGAAAAGACCCCACTTGGCTGGCTATCATCTCCCACAGTGAGGGTTATCATTACCTCCAGATGTCCTCTGCTTAATGTGTGACTGCAGCCAGGTAGCTTTTAGCACTAGGGATGCACGATATACTGCATGTTGAGAAATGCGTTATTAGATATCATTCAGAAATGATAACTAATACATATTTGTTTCTGTTTCAGAGGAAGATAGGGCTGCACGATATTGCACCAATGCTTCCTGATTTGGTCGATCCTTTTGTAGCCACATCTTTCCCACATGACTGTTGTTACATTTCTTTTGAAACCAAATGTTACTTTTCTGCATGTGTCTCCTATTCGTTAATGAAGGATTGTGATTGTTAGACGTGGATAAAGCTTGCTTGTCTCACACCAGCAACAAACTGTATCCAAGAGGCTTACAATTAGAGTACGTTGTGTAAACTAGTCATCAAAACGGTTATCCTTTTGTATCAAGCAGCAAGAGAGTTGTGCCATGATGCATTTGTGTTAATTACTTACTTGACATTGAAAATATTAGTTGTCTTATCTGTAGCAAACATGTACATATTAGACATCGTGCATCCTGCTTTATCACCGACTTATAATTGTGTTAAATAAAGCGAGTTACTAGTGGAATTAAAAAAATCTAGGAGGTTGTTGCAGGTGGATAAAAAAGGCTTATTTCCCACCCTGGTTACATGTCACGGCTAATCAAATCTGACCACAGATCAAAAGGGGAACCCCATCAAAGACTTGTTCTGCAGAATATTTATCTTTGTGTATGCAGTGACGGCAGAGCGTCCTGACAAACACACTGTAAACAGGACCATGCTGAGAGCAGTGAGGATGCAGCAGCAGCTCACTGTGGTGGGGGGGGCAGATGGAGGCACCACATGGAAGCCATGCATTCAAAAAGTGCAGAGGGCGGAGGGGGGGGGGGAAGGCAGTCCACAGATGGAAAGGTGAGGGAAAGGTGCAGGAAAGGGAGGAGTGGAAATCCTGCACTGTGCTGCCAAATCCAAAACAAGAGCAGAAACACTGCAGCTCACATCCTCCTCACACAAAAAGACAAAAACTGCAGAAAGAACTGAGGATTAGAGACGGAGGAATGTATGTTTAAAACTAAAATCTCTCCTCCTACTCCTGAAATCACTAACCAATCAGCTGCTGCTAAATATTGCTGTGTGTTGGGATTCTGCCGCCATCTGCTCAGAACCGCAGGCGACGAGGCTGGAGCCAAAACTAGGGCTGCACCGAATGTCTTTATTTTTCACACTCTTAAGCTTGAGGTTTGCCAACGAAGCTGCACACGTCTGTCGTAGTATTAATGGTTGTCCTCATCCTGAAAAAAAAACCTACATTTTAAATCAATTTTATGAATCCGATTAGATTTGATTATACGAACTTCCTTTATGAGCCGTACTCATTAGTGCACGTTCTTTATGTGTGGTAAGCGGGAGGGCAAAAGCTTTTTAGAACGCAGTGAAAACGCTTTTTTTTTAAAAGGCTAGAAGCAACAAATAATTTAAGTCCAATATCTATAAATAACCAAGACCGATATTTAAATAAATATAATTTGATAAAATCAAATTAGGTACAAAATTGCTGAACTTGTATTAAAATGTATTAAACACTGTCACTGGGTGTTTCTCAATGTCGAGGAAGCCACTATTTCAAGCATACTACGTCGAGTGCCGCCGAAGGACTGTTCCAATGTCCAGCATACTTGGAATCCTACCGAGGCCGGCGTCCTTCGTAGCGAGAAATTTCGAGGCTGCACATGTGTAGACTCCGGTCTTAAAATCCCCACAATGCTTTGCGCACGGACCAATTTCCCCAAATCTGTGGCGGAAAATGTAAGGCGGGGCCTCTCAGATGACGCACACCTGCACACTTGCTCGCCTGTTCCACTCTTCGTTTTCCGAATGCCAGGAAGGATTCTTGCCTCGCTTCTGAAGGAAGTGACTCAGAAGACATGTGCTACCAAGGAAGCGACCTCGACATTGAGAAACACCCACTGTCTCCATTTAATGATGTTCATCTGCATTGCACTTAAAATTAGTATCAACAAAAATAAATGTTTAATGGTAAATCAAAAAATGTTTTACTTAAATGTATAAATTAATTTAAATAAAACAATTTTAAAAAGTTTTAGCGCACAACATGTATTAGCAGACAGCAGCATCTCCTGGTTTCTTAGAAACAAAATGTTTTAAACTCACATAAATGATGGATAATTAATGAAGTTTTAAACTTTTCGGTACAGCCCGAGACAGAATTGAGTTCAAAATGGTGGCTTTGTTTTTCTAATTGATGAATCAAACTGCAGCATACACTTCAACAATCAAGCTGTACCATGATCCACAGCTCAGAGTTCCCGCTATTCAAAAAGCTTAGCTAGAAAAATCCTGCTTGAATTGATATCTTTACTACTTTATAATACTGTGATTTAAAAGCTTTTTCAGGGCCGGGGTCAATATACTTTTTAATCTCAAACTCACGACAAGTTTTCAGATTTTTCTGACTGGGGATATACTATTGCGATAACTGTAACACTATTTGCAACAAAGGGTAGGTTGTAATAAAGATCATGCATGTTTGAGCATTTGCAAGTCTTTTCAGTTAACAGCTACACTTCAAATAATAAAATTGCCACTTCTACACACTCTTAAAATCTAAATATGCACCTAAACAAATAGTTACATGAGGTGTAAACTAGGGCTGTGCGATTATGGCAAAAATCCTAATCACGATTATTTTGGTCAATAATTGATATCACGATTATTAAAAACGATTATCCATTTACTTTGAAAACATCAATTTATTGAAAAAAATATGTGAACAGTGTGTTTTTAACAGTTGATTACCCTGAACTTTATAATTCAACTGAAAAACCAATAACAAAACAAAACAATAATGCAACTACATTTTTTTTAAAAATAAAAATAATAATCGTTTTATTTCGATTACTTTGTTTTCGTAATCGTTGCAAGCCAAAATCGAGATTAAAATACGATTAATTGCAAAGCCCTAACACACACTGTGGCTCTTACAATCTAAATATGCACCTAAACAAATGGTTACATGAGGTGTAAACAATAAAAAAAGCACAATCTTTAATTTCCATTAATGCTCGAACCCTTAAAGCAACACTTTAAAAGGCTTAAGAAAATCATCAGTCACTAAAATATAAAATATTTTACAGGAAAAAGAAACCTGTCGTCTAATCCCGGGCTAAACTCCGGCTTTAACTCTGAGATTAGTTAACTGAAAAGACGTTTGCAAACACTTCTCCGTGCAAAATGACAAGACTGCAGACTTGAGTTGAACTGAGCGAGCATTTTAAAGACTGGTACAAACCTTTAATGCAAATTTGATTCTCTTAATCTTTTTGACCTTTTCAATTGTCTTTTTGTCAAGTGTAAAACAAATAGAAGCAGATTAGGACAAAACAAAAGCATTAGAGTTTTTACAGCTGGAAAGATCACTGAATTCACACAACAGGCAGGTTATTTAGCATAACAGTGCAGAGAAATGATTGAGAAAAGACAGATAGGCGGATAAAGTCCTCCTAAAGTAAATAAAAAGACATTTCAACAGAGCTTTTTCTGCATGCAAAGAGGCAAGGAGGGTGTGTGAGGTACGGTGGAGTCACTTACCGGATTTAAAGTGTTACACTGATCTATAGGATTCTTGTAATCAGTCTTGAGCTCATCAAATGCTATTATCTGGAGCGGGAGAAAGACAATCACAATGTAAGAAATCACAAACGGCAGCTGAACACATGAAAAAAGGCTTTGAATTGATTCGGTAAGATGGGAGAATTATAGTATGTTCAAGGGCATCCGTTTTCAGCCTGTAAAATTAACTATTTTATCACCGAATGTACATTTTATATTTTACCTGGCACTCAATAGATGACCATCGTTTGCTTTTGTGTCCTGTGGGATGCAAATCTAAAAGCAACTTGCATATTTGACCAGCATTTGTCTGGTACATCATGCAAATGTTGTGCCCTTACAATATCATAATACGAGACTGGATATCTTCTTAGATTTTGGATATTCTAATATGGTATACGTGGAACCTTTTGCAGGTTTTAAAGGCGTCATAAGTGTGTATCATCAATATGTCACTTTGTTATTGTAATGCCACATCTTTTACTAAGAGCAGTAACTTCATACTATAGATATGTTTTTTTTGTCTCCAATTGGTCTGCAACTAATGGTTATTTTCACTGTGAAATTATCTGTAATGTTCCCCTCCAATGAATCAATTATTATCTATTTTACTAAATAGAAGAAAATTGTGAAAAACGGCCATTATAAATTCCAAGAAGCAAAGAAGCTTGCTAATTGTAATTTTTGTCCGACAAAAATGGTCACAAACAATTGCAGCAAATCCTGTAAAATGCCAGGATGAAATCAAATAATTATTGGAAAATATTTTTGATATACATTTGTACTATACGACAAAATATTCTAGCGTTACCCCTCATAGCAATGTAGGACATATTGGCCAAATATTCTCGTCGTTTACAACTGAAACCTACTAACAACATCGTAATGACGTGATATTTAATAATATGTTCACATCCACAATCCATGTAATTTTCTTTATTCTAAATGACACATAATTAATGTTCATTTACACCAACAAACTATATTTATGTGGTAAACATGTGTTACGTTAACAATGTAACTTTTTGAGTAATGATCAACTAAAGTAAAAGCAGAAGTGGAAGAAGTACTCAGAGCTTGAATTTAAGTAAAAGTGGAAGTACCAGAGTGTAGGAAAACTATGTTATAAGTAAAAGTCCTGCATTCAAAATGTTACTCAAGTAAAAGTACAAAAGCATCAAAATATACTTAGTTTACTACTTGATTATAATTATTGATGCATTCAACATTACATGCATTCAAGTGTTATCAAAGGTGCAGCTAGTTTTAATAATGTTTTACTGCAGGGTAGCTTGTGAATGTACTGCAGGTGTAACTAAAGTCTGATTTAAGTGTTGTTTATATTCCATAGTAAGTGATTTACCTCAAGTGAGTAAATGTACTCAAGAACATTTATTCAACTACCCACCACCACTGAGTCAAGTTTACAATCTGCACTGATTATATTGACATTGTGAAAGTAAAATAAACAATAACAAAACAAGAAACTGTGACATGTCGTGGAAACAGACAGAATCTCTGATGATTGACAGCACCATCACAGTTTGACGTTACTGTTAGCTAAGCTTGCTAACAAGCTATCAGATAATAATATCTATAATAATTTAACAGGCATGATACATGATTAGACATGTGTTATTTTATAAGAACTACGGTTAATAACACATTAATAGTAGAAGAGGGTTACGTTAAAACGATTTAATAGTTTTTAGTTGATGTTTTTTTTTTACTGCTAGCTAACGTTAGCTCCTAGCCCAACGGCTGACTGTAATAATGCCATTCATTCTAGAACGGTTGACTTGACGTATTTTTCAAAGCGCGGCAGTTGCTATGGACCTAACGTCAGATCCAGACGTTAAAACGGTTAAAAACGTCCCGGGGGAAATGCCCCAAAGACGGCCTGGCATACACGTTAGCCCCGGTCTTAAATCGCCGTTCCTGGCTCTTTTTGTAATTAGTGCCAGGGGCCGAAAGTCTTTATCTCACAGTGCCCCAAACGTGTACTCACATGCCAGATAGCGAAGAAGATAAGAGCCGCTGTGAGCAGCAGAGCCAGCATGTAACAGAAGGCCGCGAATGTGAACGCCATTTTCACTCCGGTTCTGTGGGTCGGGTCCTGGCTCGATCCGTGGCGGTGATGCAGAGGCAGGCAGTCGGTCACCGGGCTGAGATTGTGTCGGTTGGTCTTCTTCTACAGTCAGTAGTTAGCTAGCTGATAGCAATACTGCCATCTTCTGGAGTAATTTATGTGCTTCTGGGCATATTCTCCTACTCCAACGTTACTGAAATTGCCTGTGGTGGGTGGTTCTGGTTCCTAACACATATAATATATAAGAACATCGTTGGCCTGTCATGGTTAATTGTTTCCATGATGGCTTGTTTTATATTTTCACTTTCAGGTCAATGATGAATCTGATAGAGGAACATGTTCACACAACAGTCTCCAGAAAACAGAGGGGTAAACATCACTGTCATTTTATTTGGACAGCAGGACAATAGACACTTTATAAAGTATGGGAAATACAAATATGTCAAGTTTCACTGATGCCATGAGGCAGCTGGTAATGATACATCTCAGGTGTGTTTTTTTATTACAAAAGGAAAGAAAAATAAGTAAGCATTTCATCAGAGAACAACACTTTGGAAATACTGTTAAAAATACAACAGATCAGCACAGAGGAGGGAAGCCAGCTATAGATCCACAGGACAAAACCAAAAAGACCATACATTAAAAAATGTAGTTAAATGTGATTTAATTAAGTCTACTTCAACCCATTGCTGTGAAAATATGCTCGTAAATATTCCAAGAACAGCTGAGACCAGATGTTTGAGATGCAGGTGTTCCCCCCTTTTTTTAGGAATTGATATGCAAATAAATTCAGTCTTATAAAATTATCATAATCATTTAAATTGCATGTAACAGAGCAGCATGTATGAGTGAATTTTCTTTCAAGCCTTTCACATTAAAAGCATGCACCTCTTTTACAGTAGCTCTCCACATTTCAAAGAGTTTCGTTAACAGCAGAAAAGGTTTTTATATTCACATTGAAATCAGCAGATTGCACATTTCAAATAAAATATAAAGGGGTTTGCAGGTTGTAGTGTCATAAAACGTTATCTTCCTTTAAAGGATGTTGTATAACTTCAGCTCGACTACAGAAACTAACTGTCTGCTACAGCAGCCAGATACTAACTCTAATGACTGACTAATATTGAGCTGACAGTGTAAATCTAAGCTTTGATGGCATCAGTAAACAGCAGATAAAATAACAGCTACACTCCATTGTTCCCGATGGATTACCAGGTCAAATATTACACGTCAATAGATAATTCACATGAAGGTTTGTGTGATTGTGCGTACATATCATTAAGTCAAATCTCTACCGAAATTATCCCAGCAAAGCTTTTCCCATAACCTTCTACTCCTCCCTTCTAAAACATATTTAGTTTTTGGCCTTTTTAAATCGACGTATTTAGGACGACACCTAAAATCAAGGAAAGGCCTTGTTATGGTCGACTTAGCAGTATCACTGTAATTGATGTAGGGATACATTTGTGCTAATTATTGTCTGTATACATCTTGATAACGGAAGTTTCTCTCACATAAAACCACCAGAAATATACAGTTGTGTTAAGTACATTTCATGTCGCTTCAACTATCTGGGTTTAGTCTTCCTGCTGTTAATAGATGCATTTAAGTGTGTTTAAAATGCTGCTTCAGAAACTGACATACAATAGTCCAAAACATAAAATACAGTCCATAAATGTTTGGAAAGTGACACGATTTATGTTGCTTTTAATCCAGCGCATTCACTTTGAAATGTGTTCAAGCTAGAAAATTAAAAAAGGTAATTTCAGTCTTTGTTTATTTAGCTAATTTTTTGTCATTTCACAGATTATTTTATCGTTGTTTAATGCTTCAACACTCGAGGAGCTTTTGCATGAGTCTTTGTGGAGTTTAAGCAATCTTGTAATTCAATGTAGTCAACAAAATCGTTAAATACGAATGTACTGCTTCTGTAAAAATACTTAAGAGACAGGACTGTAAATATTAGATTTTGGCGCAGAATAGGAGCTGCTGGGTTCATTCAGAAACAGAAATATCAGCCGTCACAAAGCTTTATTGGTCAAACCCTGTTGGGAAATGTAAATGTCCCCGATGCCGTCCTTTACCTACAATATCTAAATATGAAGGAGTCACAGCCATCATTGTCAACGCTGTGCTAAGAGATCAAAATCACATCAGGATGAGAAACAACATTCAGAAACACCAATAACGGTAATAACTATGATGCACAATATCAGCTAACAATCTGTGTGTGTGTGTGTGTGTGTGTGTGTGTGTGTGTGTGTGTGTGTGTGTGTGTGTGTGTGTGTGTGTGTGACATAGACAGAGGTTTGTTGTGTGTATACATTGTTCAATCTGGAATGCTTTAGTGGAAATGTTTTTTTAGGAGTGAGAAATATGCAGGTCAAAGGCAGATTACAGCTTTACCCATAATGCATCATGTTTTCTCTCTAAACAGAAGATCTGCAGTGTGATGAGCACCACGCGATAACACAGAAGGAGGTAAAACACATAACACACACGTTTTAGGAATGCTCTTAGAGTTATGGGACAGTTAGGGGGGGGGGGGGGGGGGGGATTTACAATTATTTTCAAAATCAATTAACCTGCAGATTATTCTGTAGATTAATGTTGAGTGTATAAAATATCAGAAAAATGTCCATCCCAGTTTCTCAAAGTCTGAGGTGATGTTTTGTTTTTTAATTTAATGATATAAAAATAAGAAAAGCAGCAAATCTCCATGTTTGAGAGGTCGCCTGTTACTCCACGAATAGTCGGTTATTAGTCGACTAATCGTTGCAGCTTTATAAAGTTTGTTACAATTGAAATGCCCTTAAATCAATTCTGAAGGTGAGACCGACTCAAAACTCTATTATCTATGTTATCTTCTCGCAGGAAGTGTGTTTGTTACATTATATAACCCTAAATACACCAGAAAAAGAAAAAGAATCCAAAAGAGAGAAACGCTGTGAGTAAACGACTGGAAGAAAGTAAATCTGTTGTTATAATGCCTTTCTCCTGAATGTCATGAGGGCGGATGATAGGGATTCATTTCAGAACTTTTAGGAGCTATTGGAGTGTTAATTTAATACAGACACATAACTGGCACATGGAGAGATTGTATGAAAAGCGAAGCAGACCTGCGTCAAATAGTGTTTTCAGTTTGAGAGGATTAGTTGGAGTCAAACTGAATTGTAGTGTGCCGTAAACTGTAAAACTGAAGGCAGACAGTATTTGAATCAGGTCTGGTGCAGAGGAGGAGACATTAACTGTTTTCTCCTCCAGAGGTTGTGCGTCATCCTCACATCCACGAACACCGGTGAGAGGAGTTTAGCCGAAGAAGCCGAGTTTCTCTCTGAGCCATTCCTCCGTCAGGTCCTCTGTGTTCCTGATCTCAAACACCTGGGGGAAAAAACATTGAAAGAAACATTATAAAATGTATTTAACACAATAAGGGAGAAGTAGGAAGGCGTATCTGGGTCATTATACGTTACATTTATGAGAAAAACACTTAATTGTATGACATTAAAGTCAGAAATGTACAAGAAATAACAGGACTTTTCTCTGAGCTTGTCAAGTCATACATTTCAAATATTCTCTGGGATGAAAGTGGTAAAAAAAAAAATCACATTTATGACAAAAAAATAACATTTGATTCAATTAAAGTTAACATATTCAAGGGGAAGTATCACACATTTTCTCTGAGATTAGAAAGTAATACATTTTAAATATTCCCTGGGATTTAAGTGATAAATGTACAAGAAAAAAGCAACACATTTATGAGAAAAAAACCTAAAATACTATAAAGATTAGGTCCCAAATACAAAGGTACTTATGATTGAGCACCACAGTCGAGGCAGCTCACTCACCTTGGTCAGCTCCACAGTCTGCACCAGTTTGTTCAAGCTTCCCGCGTACATCATCTGCTGCTCTGGTTTGCAACCTGTCCAACAAAAATACACAAACATAACCAAACATGTCCCTGATGATAGAAAATGGCAGAAAACGAAATGTTGCACTCTTTTGAAAAGTGCTTTATTACCTGCTGGGCTGGAGAAGATGAAGCAGAGAGGATAGGAGACGCGTCCGTCGTCGTGTACGTATTTATAACTGTAGACGATAAATGTTCCTCGTGCTAAGGACAGTTCACTTTGAAATTCATTGAAACAAAGAGCAGTCCAGACAGAAATAGATATGAAGAACTTAACTGTCTTCACTTAATACCTAATTAACTAAAATAACTTGTTAAGGCTTAACACACCTGGTCAATGACAACATCAAAAATCCACTTTCAAAAGTTTATTTAACGAACATAACATGTTAAAGGGGACCTATCATGCAAAATGCACTTTGTGATGTCTTGTATACATAAACATGTGTCCCCGGTGTGTCGGGGAACTCACGCAGCGTCAGAAAATAAAACCCTCTCTCTTTTCCTCCGTACCCAAATCTCTAAAAACGGGGAACAACGGAGCTGATCCAGATTTGCGTCCGATATGACGTAATATCTGAAATGTGGACCCACGGGCCAATCAGAAACGTTGCTATCAGAAACAATGCCCGACTGTTTTGGACATAATATGGTCAGTGTTTACATTAGCATCGCTAACACTCAGAGCTAACCTGTACTGGAGAGCATGTGTGTGAAGAAGCAGGAAGTAAAAAGGAACTCACCTTGTGGTATAACCGGCAAGAGAGAAAGCCTTTGAGCTCCAGACTGTTTCAGAGAGAATCCTTGATGATCCATGATATGGCGTTTCATCACGGCAGCATTTAGTTTAGACAGTAGCTGCCGGGTCCCGCATGAGCTCAGACCCCTCCTTTTATTTTTTAAAGCTTTATCCCCAAATCAGCACTTTTGAAACAGGAAGTGAAACAGAGGGATATGAGGCATGGCTAGAATGGGTGATCTGTTTGGTATTTTGAGCAAAACACTTCATAGACATGTTTTTTATATATCTGAGACCTATGCTATTGCCTAAAAATAGCATGATAGGTGACCTTTAATGTCAGTAATGAAGAGAGGAAGTTTCATGGTGATTTCATTTGGTACATTTTTGACCCTATTCACCTGTAGTGAATCGATTTTAAAATGTATTTGTACTTGATAATAAACAACAGTAGCTGCTGTGAGTGCATTAACTCCACAGACTGCAAGATAAGATTAAAAATGATTATTCAAATAAGTCACATATTGAAAGGATATCTCGGCTGTCTCTCAGGAACCTCCTCCCTCAGATCATCAGGAGAAATGTCCTTTAAAAAGAAAAAGAAAGGTGTTCATAGTACAGTCTCTCTGTTGCGTCATGTTCTGAGTAAAACTTTATCTAGATTAGCACAAAGTTTAACTTTTGAAAGCTGATGCAGAGCGATGTGTGAGAGTTTAATGGCTTACCTCGTGCTCTTCTTCAAGAATGACCAGCTGCTTGTCTTTATCGATCTTCACTGAGGGGCAACAAATAATAAATTAATGTTGAATACAAAATCAACACATAGTAAGAATTAAGCATGAAAAATAATGAAATACTAAAAGGTTGAATTAAAAAGAAACCTGGCAAAAAGAAGATATATTAAGATTTGTGTGCAGCCATCCTATTTCTGTTTGGCTTTAATCCTACTGTGTTAGTTTCCCCCCCTTACTTTGGTGTTCACGGTCAAATTGGACCGGTCCTGTTTAAACTGCTATTACATCAACACAAAAACCATTAATCATCACCACATTTCATTTAACACCCTTTCAAACTGTACATATTGTATCAGACTGCTGGTATACATGAACAACTGCAGTAAATATACAAAGAATAGATACTGAACATGTATTGCGTGTGCCAGGTGTGATTCACATGGGGGGATGGGCACATAAGGGGGGGGGGGGACACACATCTAGAGTGTGTGTGTGTGTGTTTTATCTGATCCGGATGGTTACTAACACCATGGGTGTTACAAAGTTGACTAAATCATCCAAAATGCAATGAAAGTGGTGATCAGAAATGTCATATGTTCAAATGTCTACTGTGAAGGATATCATAAAGCCTGAATGCAATCGAATGTAAAACAAAAAAGTTATGATCGATGAAAGTAGTAAATCGGTGAGATTTGACCCAAAGACAACAGGAGGGTTAAAACACATTTATAAACATGAGATATTCGCAGCACTCACTAACGATGGCGGCGTTATTCGTCTCCTTCCTGAAACGAAACTTCTTCAGCTTCTTCACCAGATCCTCGTCCACATCACACACCGCCAGTGATTCACTCTGATGGAAACAGGAAATGCACTTACAACTAAATACAATGACTGATATTATTAATAATGAGAAAAGTGCTGCAGTAATGGACACATGTTTGGTGGACCTTGTGTAAATGTTTCTGTTGTGTATATAGGATATACATATCTGTATATTGTATAATTGTATTTTTGTATTTGAGATTGTTGGAAACGTAATTTCGATCTATCTGAAAACTGAAAGATTGACACTAAAGTTCACTTTGACATTCTTTTAGGGAATCTTATCCTGAAAACCTTTTCTGCACTTGTGTTGGGATCCATTTATTTTAAACTGATGGAAATCTGTATCGCTGATAAATACCTTTTTGAACTTTGGGTTTTCATTACTTTGTTTTACAACGATAGACATTTGTATTACTGACAGATGATTTTTAAGTCTTGGGATTTGTGTTATTGTGTACTGTAGCTTCAAGTGGTTTCATGCAAATAATTGCCCGACTGTAAAGCAATACGTCAGCATCTGAATTAGCAATAGTAAAATCTTATTTACAATGTCCAATAAATCACCTCTGGCTGGAAGAGAACTCTCTGCTCCATAGTTTCTCTTAAATAAAACCACGTTGTACATTTTACACATATATAAAATGTTCGATATTTAATATTCCATATGTCATATATTTATGTATATAATATCTTGTCAAATTCAACATGTATATTTTCTATTTTCTTTTCTTGTTTATTTCTAATTTTGTTTTATTGTAAAGTGCCTTGTCTTTTATGCTGCTGCAACAAAAACATTTCCCAAATTGGGAAAAAATCATCTTATCTTATCATATTTGAACTATCTCTCTGCAGAAGTTCCAGTCTGACCCACAGGCTTTATTTAGACAGAACACACAAAACTCCAGTCTCAACAGGATTGAGTCGTCACGTTACATAACTGCAGCACAAAAAACCTAAAACTCTCTGCAGACTCCCCTCTATAATTACACCTTCCTGCACAGATGGGTGGTGGGAGTGAGGATTTCACTGAGCTCACACAGATCTCTGCAGATTAAACAGGAGAGTCTGTGGCTGGGAGAGGGAGAGGAGAAGCAGGAAGAGGGAAAGCAGGATGCATGCACGAGCAGATGATGGGGCAGGACAGTCAAAGCAGGAGGTGGCCACAGGTTCACTTCTGGTGTACATTCCTGCAGCCACACTGACAGCTAGCTCACTGCTATCAGCTAATTCAGCCCGGAAATAAGACTATTCTGTTCATTTAAAGCATTTCATGTGTAAAAGTTAGACACATCTTTTGCTCTGAAGAATGTCGAGCTGTTATGATATGTAGTCAGAAACATAACTCATCATGATAAGAGATCTAGTGTTGAGAAAGCTCTCCGAACCCAGACGTGTTGAAACCTATGGTTGAAACCAGGTTGAAACACAGAAACAGCTTCGACAAACTAACCAGGTTTAGCTACATAACTACAGGAAGCACTTCAAAATAAAAACATTCATGTCTGATGCGATAATACATTGTTTTGTTTGATGGTAAACTTAAAAAGTAAACCAGTTTATTAAGTAGGAGTTGTTTACTGATATATATAGCACAACTAGATTAATTAATTTGTATGTATATTGCATATTATTTTGTATTCTTAATATTGTAAATCACATTATAATATGTATTTGTGATAATTACTTCACTTTTTTTTTACAGTATTCAAAAAGGTATATATATATTGCTGTTTTACGTATTAAATTGTACTTAAGATTTTCTTTATCAAATGGTGTTATTTGCTCTAATTGGTTGGTTCATGATTTTCCTCAATGTTTCTTCGTAGTTTTATTTTGAAATCCATAACCGGAAGCGCACCCTTTGTATTATGGCTAGCTTCGCGCTGATACAATGGACGGAGGGTGGAACTCATGCTAGGCTAACAGGCTAGCGCTAGTCAATCTGCCAAACCTCACTTTTTCCTCAATAACCCCCAGAACTTTGCATTAATTAAAAACACACTATTAAGGGGTGGTAAACCAGAAGGGGAAATAACCTCATATACCTCGGAACAATAAGGAATAACTTACCATTATTGTAGCGTTAAAGAGAAATCCCTGATTCTGCAGCTGCTCTGAATGGTCGAGACGCTTTCAATGTTTTTTTTTTAACTTCACATCATCTTGTGACTGGTTTGACCAATCAGAAACAAGCACCCCCCCCCCCCCTTTAAAACTTGGTCATAAACCTCTGCTCATACTTTATTATTACACACTGTGCTGTAGACATTTTTTACAAGGGGATTATATATAAACTTAATTTAAAAGTACATTATTTAAAATTAAGCTATCCAACACAATGAGGTAAAAAAAGTACTCAGATCTTGTACTTAAGTAAAAGTAGAAGTACTCAGATCTTGTACTTGAGTAAAAGTAGAAGTACCAGAGAATACTCTGTTGCAGTAAAAGTCCTGCGTTCATATTACTCAAGTAAAAGTAGAAAAGTATTAGCATCAAAATATAGTTAAAGTACCAAAAGTAAAAGTAGTCATTGTGCAGATTGGTCCCTTTCACAATAATATATATGATGTGTTTTATAATGATTGATCATGAAAGTGTTCTCAAAGCTGGTAAAGGTGCAGCTAGTTTGAATGACTTTGTATACTGCAGGGTAGCTGGTGGATTTACTCCAGGTGGAACTAAAGTCTGATTTAACACTTGATTAGATTTACCATCATTCATCCATGTAAAGTAACTAAAGGTATTAAATACATGTAGTGGAGTAAAATTACACCATTTACCTCTGAACTGTAGTGGAGTATAAGTACACAGTAGCATAACATGGAAATACTCAAGTAAAGTACAAGTACCTCCAAATTGTACTTAAGTACAGTACTTGAGTAAATGTACTTAGTTACCCAACACCAGTGAAAGAAACATCAAATAATCGTATGTTTTTTTTAAATGTATTTTTTACTTTTGAATAATTAAATGTTAATTAAATGTATTTAATTTGTTGGGGTGTGTACATTATCTGCGTGTGCTCGGGAACGCGCCCAGCCATCAGAATACGTCATCACCGTGTGCGCGCTTCCTGCTCCAGAGTTGTAGTTGTGAGAGCAGAGCTGACGTTAGCTTGTAGTTTTCTGCCTCGGGAGGCTAAATTAGCAGGCTAACTGAGTCCCAACAGCTGCACTAATCCTCCCTGTTTACCCACACAGCACCTGAGAGGAGTCCATCTTCTGAGAGGTAACATTAAATATCAGTTTTTACTCTCTTTTAACACAGAGGACCTAACATAACACACAAGCTAACAGCTAGCTGCTAACAGCTAATAGCCAACTATCTGTTAACTGGATCATTTAAAAACATGCAGCTAAAGTCAGTCTGTGTAACTTCTCATAATGATATTTAAGTTGAGTGAATGTATTTCGGCTGTGTCCAAATGTGTTTATTTGGTCAGCAGGCGGGGATGGAAACACTTAGTCAGCCTGAGACCAGCCCTGCTGACAGCTTTGAAACTCCCAAAAAAACACAACGCACTTTGGATTATGTGTTTTTTTAGAAATATGCTTATAAATCTTAATGTTGTGGCATATGATTGTTTTATTTACTACTTGTTTTTGGTATTGTGTTCTTATTGGCTGTCTTATTGTTATTGTTTCATGTTTTAGTTTTGTTCATATTTGGGTTTTTTGGTGCTTAATTTAATTAAGGCATCTTTGAAAATAAGGCCCCAACATTTAATGTGTTTAAGCAGCTAAGAAATAGCTTCACATCACAAATCAAAAGTGCTTAGTCTAAGTATTATCTGTCAGTTACCACAAAGAACCTGAATAATCCTAGAACATTTTGGAAAGCCATAAAATCGTTATCCACTGGTGAAATCCGTAATGAGCTACCTCCTGGCATTACCACAGCATCTGGCACTATATCGGACAGGGCCACTATGTTAAATTGTTTTAATGAGCATTTTGTGTCCTGTGGCTCTCTGTTTGATTCTGTTACTAACTCTGTTACTGTGAACACCACAGTCTGTGACTCTGAACAATGTGGTCTGGAAAACCCTTTCAGTTTTTCTCTTGAAGCCGTTCATGAAGCCTTATCCAAGTTAGGTCCTAAGAAACCGGCTGGTCCGGACAACGTAGAACATTTCTTTTTAAAGATAGCTGCAGATTTTATTGCTCTTCCTCTCACTACTCTTTTTAACCTCTCCCTCAGCACGAACACAATTCCAAAAGTATAGAAATTAGCGTATGTCCTGCCTCTACTAAAAGGTGGGGAGACCACTATATTAAATAATTATAGGCCAATCTCTAAATGATCAGTTCTGGCCAAGGTTCTTGAAAGCCTATTGAGTGAACAGGTAAAGGTGTTTTTATGTAAAAATGACATCCTGTCTAAACATCAGTCAGGTTTCAGAAAGCAACACAGCACCATCACTGCCACAATGAAAGTGGTGAATGATATTGCTAATATCTTAGACAAAAAGCAGAGTTGTGCAGCTCTATTTATTGACCTTTCCAAAGCGTTCGATACTGTCGATCATATCTTGAAGCAGAGGCTACTCAGTATCGGCATATCCAGCCATGCAGTGGGTTGGTTTCGTGAACTACCTCTCTGAAAGGTCCCAATGTGTTCACTTTGATGGGCTGTCTTCTGAGTGGTTAAACATCCCTAATGGTGTTCCTCAAGGTTCTGTTTTAGGTCCACTTTTATTCTCTATATATATCAACAGTTTAGGTGAAAATGTGGATGGAGCAACTTTTAAATTTGTATGCGGATGATACCGTGATGTTCTGTGCAGGTCCCTCCATTCAGGAGGCTGGTGTTAAATTACAGGCTGTTTTTAACATTATTCAGACTCAGCTCGCTGAACTTAAGCTTCTTTTAAATGTTGATAAAACCAAGGTAATGCTATTTTCAAAAGCCAAAAAGACACCAGAGACCGCTTTGGATATTGTTACTATGCAAGGACAAGTACTCGAAGTGGTTGGCTGTTATACCTAGGTATCTGGCTTGATGATTGCCTCTCTTTTAAACTTCAGGTCAATAATCTGCTTAAAAAGCTGAGGGGGAAGCTAGGTTTCTTTTTCAGAAACAAGTCCTGATTCTCGCTTGAGGCCAGGAAAAGGCTCTGTGACCTTTTACCTGTGCTGGACTATGGTGATCTGATCTATATGAATGCACCTGCCCATTACCTGAACAAGTTAGATGCCGCCTATCACAGTGCGCTGAGATTTGTTACTAACTGTAAAGCACTTACTCATCACTGTACCCTGTATGCCAGGGCAGGTTTGACTTCACTCACTGTACGGAGGCTCAGTCATTGGTACATGTTTATCTATAAAGCCATGTTGGGTAAACTCCCATCTTACATCCGCTCTCTGATCTCACAGAGAGTGGCAAGTAGCTATTGCTTGAGATCCATGTGCCAAGTGCTAGGACTGTTTTAGGCACTACAGCTTTTATGTGCGCTGCTCCTCTAGCTTGGAACAGTCTGCAAACAAAATTGAAACTGAGCATTTTGGTTCCCTTGCATCATTTTAAAGCTCGGCTGGATGAAATGTTATTTGATACCTGTCATTGTGAATAGGTTTCTAATTTGTACCCCTGTAATTATGTTGTATGATGTCCTTTTTGTTTGCTGTGGTTTTTATGTGTAACCAACGTGATGCAGGTCTCCCTTGAAAGAGATCGTTGATCTCAATGGGATTTTCACCTGGTTAAATAAAGGCTACAAACAAACAAGAAGTAATCAAAGGTTTTATTTAATTGCAATTGGTTGTGACAACGTGCTCATATAACTAATGAAAGTTTCCATCTTGTGTTTTCTTTTAGATCATGGCAGATTTCTCGGTGAGTTTAAAGGATTGAACTGTTTAAATGGTTTCACCTTCCTTTATTGTAAACGTAGTAAAGCTGTAATGGTTAGTGTATCCAGAGGAAAATAAATAACTATTTCTATGATCGGTTAATCTAAGTAATTTATAAATGTCAGTCAATGCTGTTTTAAGTTTCTGAAATCTGGAGATTTCCTGCTTTTCTCTTCTATATATTCTAGAAAAGTTCATATCTGTACCTAGGTCAGTCTTACCTTTTAGGTTTTGTACTTGTAAAACAATACATTATAAAGATGTATTTTTCTGACATGTAGACAACACAATTAATGGATTCATTTAGAAAAGAATCCCCATCTTAAATAATCAAGAGTCACTGTCACTTTCTCTCTCCAGCTGACCGACGCGTTAGGAGACGACACTCCGAGCAAAGTCAAGAACATGGGGAACACCAACCCGTCGGCTCCGGCAGGGAACCAACAACCTCCTGCTAACCCGGGGTGGCCCGGCTCGGCCCCCGGAGCCCCCACCCAGCCCTCTGCCCCAGGGGGTTATCCCGCTGGATCCTCTGGTCCAGGGGGTTATCCTGCTGGAGCTCCAGGTCCAGGGGGATACCCTGCTGGATCCTCCGGGCCGGGGGCCCCGGGGCAGTTCCCATATCAGTCTGGTGGCCCCGGAGCACCAGGGCAGTACCCGGGACCCCCTTCTGCCCCTGGAGGCTTCCACCCCGGGCCTGGGATCCCCGGACAGTACCCCCCTGCACCTGGAGCTCCAGGACAGTTCCCTTCTAGCCCTGGAGCCCCAGGCCAGTTTCCCGGGCAGTTCCCCCCTCAGTACCCCGGGCATTATCCCCCTGAAGGAGCTCCAGGACAGCTCCCCGGAGGCCCTGCCCCTTACCCAGCCGGACCCTTTCCCTCTGGCCCCGGAGCCCCCCCTGGTCCATATCAAAATCTGCCTGCTTATCCTGGATGTCAGCCCGGAGGAAACGGGATGTACGGGCCGGGGGGTCCGGGTGCATTCCCCCCCGCAGCCGGCCCTGGAGCTTTCCCAGGATTCCCTGCTGGAGGCTTCCCTCCCATGCCCACCGGGTCCTGGGGCCCCCCCGCAGCCGGAGGATACCCTGCGGCCCCCGGCCCCTTCGGCCCGGACCCATGGGTCCATACGGGGGTCCACCCGCTCCAGGAGGCATGGTGAGTCTCTCTCTATTCAGTAATCTGCTGCTTGCTTTCGGCTGCCTCTCTCTCTCTCATGGTTTCACTCTGCTGGAGACTCTCATGGTTTCAGGTCTTTGGGAAACTACTTCCAGCGTCACTGCCGAAAACCTTACCAGTCCCCCTGCTGTCATCTTTAGATTAGAG